TAAGGGTGCGTTCAGACAGGGCGTTTCAGCCGCTATTTTCCAGTGTGGCCAGCTGCAAAGAATTGCTGTGGTGTAATTGAGCTGCGGTGGCTCAAGTGGTTAAGACGCTGAACTGCAGGCTGTGGAAGGTCAGTAGTTCAGCAGTTCGAGACCCGGGTGCCGCATGATGGAGTGAGCTCCCATCTCTAGTTCCAGCTCCTGCCAACCTAGCAGTTTGAAAGCAAGAAATTGCAAGTAGATAAATAGGTACCACTTCGGTGGGAAGGTAACAGCGTTCCGTGCGCCTTGGCGTTTAGTCATGCCGGCCACGTGACCACGGAAACGTCTTCGGACAGCGCTGGCTCTTCAGCTTTGAAACGGAGATGAGCACCGCTACCCTAGAGTCGGATTCGACTGGCTTTCGAGCAAGGGAACTTTTACCTTTACCTTTAACCACATCCAGTGATGTGCAGAAGATCACATCCCCTCACCAGTGTGTGGAGGGAGGAGTAAAAAAATATTAGCAAATTAGCATAACTTGCAAATCAAATTTAACAAACTGATGAGAAGGTTAATTTAGAAGTCGCTCCCTTCTGTTTTACATATGGCAATAACAGAGTCCGTCCCCCCAGTGGAGATTAAAAGTGTTCTTGGCATGTCTTTTAAGAATTCCTCAAGATCATTATAATTGTGGACCTGTTCTGTCATGTAACCCTGTGATTGTAGCCCCCTCGCCTGAAATTAGCAGTTTAATTGAACCTCTTTCTCAGACAAAATTATATTTGACGCCGTCGCAGACAACGAAGTCGTCTAAAAACTCTTCAATCTCCTTTCCCGCCGAGAGGGTCCAGGAACTACAGCTCCCAATTTCCATTGCTGTCAGGTCCTCACTTTCGGGGTTAGTAAAAACCACCTCGCCAGTACTCCTAAGGTTCGGATTCTCAACCTGGAAGACCCTGAGGTTTATAAAGCAACAGTGGCCCAGGGTCTTAAAAGAGTATTTCGAGAAACTGCGCCAGCAGGTAGCGGCGTGTGGGGAAAGTGGAGTTTCTACACCGGCACTAGCTTTGTCGTCTCTGGCACTTTGCGGGCCTCTCGTCAACGGCGGCGCTTTAGGTCGAGCGACGACCACTGAACGAGTTTTCCAAGAAAGCCGCGCGGCTGAGGGTAATTTCCGTATGAAGAGCCGCTCCGCCATGGACCCTTCCTTCGTCCAGCAGCCTTCATGTTGGCAAGGCTGATTAGCGTCTTCCCCTTCTCCAACAGCACGCTAACTTAAGTATAGGGTCAGAGTAGACAAGGTGGGTATACTGTCAGAGGCTTCACCTGTGAAATAACATCTATATGTACGAGACGCCTGGCCGCTTAGGGCTAAGGCGATGTACAGGGAAACCACCACGAATCCATCGGTGCGCAAAAAGCTTGTTGGCAGTAGCTTCCTTCCAAAGCTGGCGATGCTTTAGGCTGAAGCCACCCTTATGTGCAAGACCTGGGACCAGATCTGCTGTTTTTTCTCCCCCCCCCAAAACAACAACAACAACTAAAACGTCTCTGTATGAGCATCAAAGCCCAAGGACAGAGTGGGTTGTGGGTTTTTTGTTTCCTAAACAAAATTATATTTTTCATCTGGCTGAAGATCACACTAGGAAAATGGTTAACCCCCCCCCCCCCCGCTGTAGTTTGCTAAGAAAAGGGGGGGAAAGGACAAATACATTTTGGATTTCCTGCATGTAGTTCAGCCCCTTTAATGCTAACTCTCCTGCTCTTGGCCTTCTATTTAAAAAATATGAGAGGCTGTTCTGGGCTCCCCCTCCTTTCTTCAGGGCAAAACATTGGAGCAGGGACACCAGCATAATAGCCATCTATATCAAAATGAAAAGGAGGAAGGATGACAGCTGTGCCAAATTTAGGAATTGCTCCAGTTTAATTAAAAGTAAAGGAAACATACCCTGAACTGGGTGGCCCAGACTAGCCCAATCGCAGAAGCTAAGCAGGGTTGGCCCTGGTCAGTATTTGGATGGGAAAGCACCAAGAAAGCCTTGAGCGGCTCTTGCCTTGAAAACCCTATGGGGTCACCCTAAGTTGGCTGCAACTTGACAGTACTCTACACAGAGAAGGGAAACATCAAGCTGATTGTTTTAACAATTTTTTCTAGCCAGCAAATGTATTTCCAAGGTTTTATACTACAAATGGTAGTAAGTTTTATCTTAGAACAGCCATCTTATTAGAACAGCACTATATTCATGCAAATGTTACTATTCTCCCAAATGTATTGTTCAAAATTTACAAAGATGCAATCTAAGGTATTAGTCTAGAGAAAACATCAGACAAAACGTGATCCACTGGAGAAGGAAATGGCAACCCACTCCAAGAAAACCCCATGGACAGTAACAAAAAGCTAAAAGATAGGACGCCAGAAGATGAGCCCCTTAGGTCGGAAGGTGTCCAATATGTTACTGGGGAAGAGCAGAGGGCAAGTACAAGTAGCCCCAGAAAGAGTGAAGCGGCTGGGCCAAAGCCATTAAGGACACTCAGCTTTGGATGTGTCTGATGGTGAAAGGAAAGTCCGATGCTGCAAAGAACAATACTGCAAAGGAACCTGGAATGTAAGATTTATTAAGGTAAGTTGGATATGGTCAAAAATGAGATGACAAGACTGAACATTGACATCTTGGGAATCCGTGAACTAGTGGCCCTGACTGTTCCCTGGAAGGCCAGATACTGAAGCTGAACCTCAAATACTTTGGCCGCCAAATGAGAAGGGAGCACTCACTGGAGAAGACCCTGATGCTGGGAAAGATTGATGGTCAAAGAAGGGGATGGCAAAGGATGAGATGGTTAGACAGTGTTATCGATGCAATGAACATGAAATTAAGCAAACTCCAGAGGATGACGGAAGACAGAAGGGCCTGGCGTGATGTGGTCCATGGGGTTGCGAAGAGTCAGACTCAACTGTGCGACTGAACAACAACAACATTAAACTAACTGAAGTATAAATTCTGGAAGAAAGTTTTGAGTTATAATTCTTCAAGTATGGGTGTTAATTTCATAGGGATTTTTTTTTTTGCTTTAAATAAACATTCTATGTATTTTTTTTTGCTACTGCTGTCACCCAGTTAAAGTTTTTTAGATGATTCATCATAGCCTCCAATTTATACAACTTAAATTAGCATATCAAAACATACAATATGTATATCTTTTCTAACAATAAGGTTGGGAACCTGTGAGTCATTATCATGGAATAGGGAAGGACAGGATAAATTAGTAGGAAAGTCACCTCTAACTCCGAACAATGCAACTGCTGAGGTCCAGCACTAGCAGAGCAGCTTACCTGTGAACTTTAGCCACCTTGTGTTCTAGCAGATTTGCCCTTTGCTTTAGCTTAATGGAGTAACTAGCTGTGAGACTAAGCCATACAAACAAGATTTTTTTCCTCTTCTACATAAGGTGCACTTTTTGAAGCCATTAAGGACAAATGACAAAGCTTGACACTTCCGGGGTTATATTCTACACCTGTGATTAAATATTCTGGGTTATATGGCTACACAAAGCACAAGACAGGATCCATGTGATCTCCAACAAATACATTTTGCTGTTAAAGGCAACTTCAAAGAGGCATGGCACTACCAAATTCCATGTGTATCTAAAATTTATTTTAATAGTGTATGCCAGGTATGTCCAACAGGTAGATCGCAATCTACCAGTAGATCGCGGAGAGGTCAGAGGTAGATCACCAGCCTTACTTGGTCTCCTGGTTTGCTGGGCAGGTGTTTGGGGTTTTTTTATGATTGGTGGTAAAAAATGTTCGCAGTTCTTTCTGACAGAAGGTGCATTATAAATGGTGGGGCGGCGGAGGAACCCAACTTTAGTGGGTTAAAATCTAATTTGAAACTAATTTGAAACTTTATTTATATGGTGGTAGATCACCGGCACTTTTGGCTGGAAAAAAACAGATCACTACCTGTTCGAACTTGGACATGCCTGGTGTATCTGTTTCTCTGGACCTGTTCCAGCAACAAGTAGCACAAAAAGCAAGAACTATGGATCAGTGGATAAAAGAGCAACATAATGGGTTTGATCCAGCAATCTACTTAATGTAAGGATCACAGATTTTCTGCACTTTCCCCTCTCCCAACAAATCCCTTCTTACCTCAACAAAGTTAACATAGGGAGTAACAGCCACCTAGGTCAGTGGGCTGCAGTGAGGAGTGGAAGGGAGCAAAGTCACCCTCTCTTTTTCTGTCAGCAGGCTATCAGAGGGGATGGTAAACAAGAAAGATCCAATGACCATTAGGGCCTTCTGCTAGTGAACTGCTGAATCCAACTAATGTTGTACAGATTGACAAAGCCCTAAAAAGACCAGTGGAGGCCTTGTTTGAAGCTCATTAAAATTTGGCTATAGTTAGTACTTTGTTTCCAGATCAATCTTTAGGACTACAGTCTAAATAAAAGCAGTTAAATGTTTATGAATTTCACCAGTAGTGGTCCACATTCGTACATACGTTACAAAAAAGGCTCTGCCCCCTGAAAAGAAAATACCACCAACAGGAACTGCAATAAGCCATACATTACGGTATTAGTCAAATGCAACATTGGGGTGTGTGTGTTAATATGCCATTAAAATGGGGATGGGGGAGGTCATCTTACATACAAATTATAGCTATATCCTATAATAACCTTTTGGGGTGTATAATATGGGGGTGTCTTCCATTCAGGGTTGTCTTTTCAGTAAATATGGTATATGCATCTTATCCAATTGCCCTCCAGGTCCAGTAATCAAGACTCTCCAGTTTGTGTTTCAAAGTTTTTGAAGTGATGTCTACAGAACTATTTCAAAAATCCTCTAGCCATTGCTACACAGTATAAATATGAAAGGAAAATCCATTATCAAGTTTTATTACAATTTCAGCTAAATAGCATCTAAGGTGCTTTAGAGGAATCCTCACAGGGATAATCCTCCAGAAACTAATTCAGTAACACCACATAAGATACAGAAATTTGTTATATATTACAGTTGTCACCCTTTGCCAGGTGCCCAATCTCTTACAGGCTTCATTCCTACACCACTGCTTCTCCAATTGGAAGTGATTATTTTCTGTTCAGAAGACAAGAGTTTCAGCACCCGCTGTCAACTTCTGCACGCACATTCAATGGCTGAAAAGCTCTCAGCCATAAGGCAGAAACATCTGCCTCCTAATATTGAAAACTAGCAGCAGATAACTGAATTTTTTCATCAGTCATGCAATAGCATGAAAGATCCATTTAGATGAGTGATCAGTCTTCTAGTTGCTTTCAGGTCTTGTTTACAGAAAACAATATTACCCACCCAAATCCATGCAATATCACAGCTAAACACGATGGCAGGTGTGTGTTTTCCCAGAAAACAGTAGGATTAGGAAGGGCACTTGCTTAGGGTCCTTTTGGCAACATTTCAGCCCACTTGTGGGCCAGATTCCTGCCTGAGGCTTCCTCACCAAGGTTTGTTAATTGTGAAGGGCCAGCTCATTGCTTTCCCAGACACTCTTGGCTAATGGAAGAATCTCCATTCTAATGGGGGAAATGGAACAAAAGCAGTCAAAGCAAGGGCTAGCTTTCACAACATCCTCCCCATTTCCATCACATCATGAAATGAAAAGCAGCAGTATGAAATACTTCGCTCCTCCAAGAACTCTCATTGAGGATGATTTCATTTATCTGCTTTAAATGTTTTTCCAGGCTGAATTCATAAGAACTTTTACACAATCCCACTTATTAGAGGGATCAGAACCTTCTGAGTGTACACTGTCAGAGCTTCATAGATTGTTCTTCTGTGCAGATATCACACTAGATGCTCCCACTCAGATTGATGTGGACCTGATGCAAAGCAGAAGTGAGAAAACAAAGTTGCCTTTTCACTGCCATTGTCCATAGAAGATAAAGTAGGCTTTTCCAGTTTGCAAAGTTCCATGGTTCAGAATAGTCTCTCCCACTGGTTAACTGTTTGTCCACCAGGATAGGAGGCCTAGGCCAGGTTCACTGATTGATCCCTGTCCAGAGAAAGAATACAGATTAAAGTTTTAAGAACATTGCCATTAGTCATTTAACCTTTGTAGTATTCGTCTATATTCTGAGCATTCCATTAAATGGTGGTCAACAAGGATTTTAAGATAATATGACTTAAAATAATGGCTATTTGAAAAAACACCCCTACCCCTGAGGATATACAACAGCTTGTATGCTTAATCACAGGTTTAGATTTTGATTACACACCACACACACATTTCTCAAGAACAAGTGTGCATAGCTGCACATGCTAATTGTTACTCATCTACCAAATTCTGCCCCATTGTTTTGAGACACGCAACCTATCAGCTGGTGTTGGGATCTTCTATTTCTCTGGCATCCTTTCCTCGTGTGTGACCACCATGGTGCAATGTTAGCTTTGACTTAAGGTCTTTTGAGTAGAGTTAATATCAAATGGCTGTGCAGAGAGAAGCTTTGTTATTTACCACAAGAGTATAGGGAGCCTCCTTCTTCTGGGCCTCATCTGCAGCACCAGAGGTAGAAGGCTGTGCAGAGCTTGGGCCTGTTGGGGATGTATCAATGAAGGTCTCATCCACCACACGGAAACGGATCTCCTCCCCTGTATCCATATACAGATCATGGGCTCCTTCTTCAGTCTCATATTCCCAGACCCACACCTGCTCAGCTTCATCACTGGCCATATTAAAGGTTAAGGCAGAAATACAGTAACAAGGCACTGAAGTTCATAACATGAAACCCTTTCTGTATTTTAAATCCCATCATTCATCTCTTTATGTAGCCCTCTCTCACTCTGCTTCATGTACAAACCATGCTGTATCTACTAACACATACCCTGTTTTAGTTTGCACTGCAAGAAAACAGAACCCAATGCAGGTCTTGGGAAGTGATTAGGAAGGAATTCTTGGTGGAGATAAGAGTATACAAGAAGCGGGACCCGCAATACTTGCGGGGGGGGGGGTTACGGGGAGGAGGATTCCCAAAGGCTCCCAGCCTCCAGAAGCAACTCAGCACTAAGGAGGAAGTGGCCGCAGGTAAGCCTTTTCCCTCCCTGGCGGCGAGGCCTGAGCAGCTCCCAGCCACTGGACCCTCCGAGCCTTCTCCTCCCACCCCCCCCGCAGCAATGGCAAGATCTGGGCAGCTTCCAGCCGTTGGGCCCTCTGAGCCTTCTCCCACCCACCCCCAGCACCGGCGACGAGGCCAGAGCGGCTTCAAGCTGCCAGGCCCGCTGAGCTTTCTCCCGCCCCCCCCCACCCGCAGTGGTGAGGTCTGAGCAGCTTCCAGCCGCTGGGCCTGCTGAGCCTTCTACTGTCCCCTTGGCACCGAGGCCTGAGCGGTTTCCAGCCACTGGCCTGCCAAGCATCCCCCCCTAACGGCAGTGAGGCAGAGTTCCCAGAGCACAGGGAACGCTCTTTTACTTTTTGGGGGATTTAAATATCCCCCATATAGAAGAAGAGATTGGATTTATACCCTGCTCTTCACTTGGAGTCTCAGAGTGGCTTACAAACTCCTTTCCGTTCCCCTCCCCACAACAGACACCCTGTGAGGTGGGTGGGGCTGAGAGAACTCTGACACAAACTGCTCTTTTTCAAGGACAGCTGTGCCAGAGCTTGTGACTGACCCAAGGTCACATGAGCAGGTGCAAGTGGAGGAGTGGGGAATCAAGCCCAGTTCTCCCAGATTAGAGTCCGCACACTTAACCACTACACCAAACTGGCTCTCTACTTTTCAGATTCTCCTGCACACCTGAGGACTGCCCCAAGTGTGGAGGGAAATCTCTTTGCCCTCCAAGTGCCCCCGATGTGCGGATTTAGATATCTGCACAGAGGGGGCGTCTTGGCAATTAGTATATAAATGATGGAAGCCAAGTAGATGACTACTATTTACCAGCCCTCAGCTGACCCAGCCACATATGCTTACTCTCTCCATTGCCCTCCACTACACTAGTCTGCGGAAACTAAAAAATTCTGCACATGCTTTTTCTGGTGGCTTATTTATTTTATCAAACTTATACCCCGCCCTCCCCACAAGCAGGCTCAGGGCAGCTGTTACACTGATTGGCCATTCTTTAATGATAGTGGCCAGAACATGTTGCAACAAAGCAACTTATCATGCTTTGTACACACAGGGTCGGTTTTAAGATAAGCACATTTTTATACATCAGTCAGGGTGAAGCTGTTCAAAAGATACAACTTGGCAGGTTGCTGTAGAGATTCTGGAGGAATGATGATGTCATCAAAAAACCCAAGAGAAACTGCAGGAAGAATTCAAATTAATATAGAGATTATTCAGGCAAAATGTGACACCACATTTTAAAGGCTTTCCTAGGTTACCCAGTGACACTCCAGAATAAGATTTTGAACACAGACTCAGCATTCTCCCTGCTATAGCACAGTATTAAAGCTGCCTTTAATATATCTGAACATCCAAACAAATCTGTTATTGGCACTATAATACTTTAAACCACAAGTGATATTCTTCTCTTCTTCTCCCGCTATGTATGTGTTATTTGCTTTTGAAAAAAATAAAGCCTACCACTCCTTGGTGTGCACAGGCTTTTTGGCAATGTCATACGGCTACAAAGGAGAGATTCCAGTTACTACAGGCAACTACAATCAAGTTAAAAGCAAACACAAAAGGAACAGTAGCTTCCTTTGAACTGATATTCCATGTTAACATCCTATCCCAATAAATGTCTTTCTCACAGGCCAGGCAACACAGAGAACTGGACAATCCAAGTGGCTTACAAATTTAAGATACACTGCATTCAGGACCAAAAGAGGCCTCAATATCAGTATGATAGCAGCACACTGTCTTGGGTTCAAAGCAGTTGGGAATTAGTTGCACATTTAGGGTCCTTTGTCCTCAGTTCCCTGGGGGGAGAAACATAATTCCCACACTTCAAGTGGTTAAGTTCTGCAATCTAGTGATGTTAACTGGCAGCTCAAAACAAGTTTTAGACATTACTAAGTGGGCGGAACACCCTCCAGACAGGCAACTCAACAAGTATACCAATAATTTAAAAGAACAGTTGGTCTTTATACCCCAATTTGCTCTACTGTAAGGAGTCTCTGTAAGGCTTACAGTCGCCTTCCCTTCCTCTCCCCACAATAGACACCTTGTTAGCTAGCTGGGGGGGAGAGAGTTTTGAGAGAACTGTGACTGGCCCAAGGTCACCCAGCAGGCTTTACATGGAGGAGTGGGGAATCAAACCCATTTTTCCAGATTAGAGTCACCACTACACCACACTGGCTCTCCACTGTTGCAGTCCACTATAATGACATTCCCTTCAGGACTTACTCCTTCCTTACTTCTGAGTTCCAACCTCCTCAGTAGTAAAATTAAGACTTACCACGGACTCCTTCCAGACTGCAGCCTTTTATCTCTCCAACCAGAATTTCATCCAGAAAAGGGTGAAATACAACATACCGAAAATGCACTGAAAACAGCAAGGATAATAAATTAATGTGACGTCCTTAAGTACATTAAAGCACAGTTATCCTGTACTTGCATTCTCTAGAAATCTGTATTTTCAATAAACACAACTTGACACAATCAGGCATCAGCATTATGGTAGTATTCTCTACTCATTTATGTAAAGTTCCACTACATTTGGGGACTGTTTTTAGCAGACAATTTTTTAAAAGAAGAGGGGTCCACACTCAGGTCTGCATGGAAAGGTGTCTCCAGAAAGTATTAAGAGATTGCATGAGCAATGGAAAGACTCTGTATAAATTGTACTTGCTCAAAAACTTCATGTTTCCTTAAGAAGGGGCAAATAGATGGGAAGAGTAGTGCTTGATGCATGTAGGTAAATGCAAAGCAGAGCAACAAAACCAGACCCACGGTACCTGTAAGAGACATTTTGGTATTTATACTACTGATTAATAGTCACACTTTCCCTCAACAAGGTCATCAACAACCCTCTGATATCTTTCACCTGTCATGTTCACACAGTTCACACACAGCACTGATTTTGCCCTTCCCAATCCTAAAGCCTTTCCTTTAGGCTTCTGGCTCATATGGTACTAATAACATACAGAGCACAAGAATCCAATTTCTGCAAGTCTAAAAGATTGAAAAATAACTGGTTTTGAGCTCAAACTCGATCAAATAAGACAGCAGCTGGATGAAGTGCAGCAGTAAGGGAAATGTAGATAGGACTGCCCTCTTTCCACCCAAAGAGATGGAATTTATCTTCTTAAGATTCCGTCTGCAAGATACATGAAAGTGAGGTCACCAGGAAATATGGGCATGAGCAAATCAAATACAGAATGGGATAAGCCTCCTGCCAGTAGTTTTCATTTTCTTTAAGCAGTGGATGAAAAATAGCCAAACAGTCCAGGAAAAAGATGACAATCATTTATACAAAAACATATTGAAAAGGAAATGTTGTCGCATATCAGAATAGTCACCATAACTCTGTCTCAAGGGAAGATGGTACTAAGGATTAAACGGAATCTTCATTCCTCAAACTATTTTGGCTTTATGAAACAGTGTCTTCCCAGATGTACTTGGCACTTTCTCCTGGACTGCAGTCATTATGTAGATTAAGGAGTAAAGGAGTATTTATGCTGCTGTGATGTTGTCAGCATTTCTTAAGATCCCTCTAAAAAAAGAACTGTTAAAGACCTGCAATTGTCAGCAATTGCAAATCTCCCTCAGGTTTCTTATAGTTTTAATTTCACAAAGAGACTAGATTAAGATAAACATTTGACAAACCTTTTGTGTGTGACGCACCATCTCCTGGAAATATATAGGAATCTTCCAGCTTTGTGATATCATACAGACAAATACAGAGGCCAACGTTATATACAACCTGTTTGGGGAAAGAGCTTACATAGCAATAGGTCCCAGTAACAATGAGAAAATATATCCAGATGGTCAGCCATGTTGGTCTGAAGCAGTAGAACAAATTTAGAGTCCAGTGACACTTTTAAAACCAACAAAGGTTTAATCAAGGTATGAGCTTTCATGTGCAAGGCACACTATTTCAGATACATTGGAACAAGAAAATATGTTAAACCTTCCTTAAATAGCATATCAGAATTTATGCACAAGAAAGGCCATACAAATAAACCAGCCTGGTGAACTGAAGCATAATAACTGAATGGATAGAAGTGGTTCATACAGAAACCTTGGCAAAAATAGATTTCCAAAGGGATACTGCCATATGTATCCCAGAGCAACCAAAAAAGTTGATTTTGACTCTTTATTTTTCTGCTCTCCTGCATTTTATTACAGTACACCTAGACAACAAGTGTTAGCAATGGAGAGATACAGAACTTAATTTGCTCCCAATTCTATCCAGTCTGTTAAAATTGGCAATGACTGGGGACAGCTGTTTGCACATTACACTTATTAAAAGTATCAATTTGCACCATGACTAGTATTATGGGGAGAGACTAAGGTTCAGTGATAACGTTTTGCATGCTGAAGCTACCAGGTTCAATCTCTGACCTCTCTAGTTAAAGGATCTCAGGTGATAGGTTGGAAAAGACGTCTCTTTGCCTGGAGAACTGTTGTCAGACTAGTCAGACTAGCCAATCCAAGATAGATATTCTAACAGTCTGATTCAGTACAAGGCAGCTTCATATGGTCATAGTAAAGAACCACACTGTTCTTTAACAGTGTTCTTTAACACTTTTGAATATGTAGCTAAATATCAAGGCTTCTGACTTTGGAATATATTCCCATTACAGCCCTCTAACAGGGCTCAAAAATTCCCAGGTTCCAGGTTGCCATGGCACTTAGAAACTTCATTATGGCGTCGTATTTTCAGCAATGCTTTTATTGTAGTGCCTCACACTGATTCTCAGTAGAAGCTCTTTTTATCATTTCACATCAATATGCTTTGTTGTATGACATTAAAAGCATGTGCATGCAGGTTTTGACATTCCTTGTTTATATGTGAAAACCATTCAGTAGTGGTAGGTGAATTAAATCAAGCTTCTTAAAGCAATAATGAAATTATGAGAAATTGGAGAGGGACTGAATTAAGGCTAGAGGTCAGCTTTTTTGTTGTGATGATGGCAACCATGGTTTGCCCTATATATATATATGTTAATCAAGCACTGGCCTACAGCACTCTAAACTTTACCTTATTTGCTAGCTTCTTGTTTAATTCTTCTGTGATTGCATCATTAAGCTTCCTTTCAAATTGCCATGGAGGTATTCGCACAGTATCTGTCATTTCCACTAGCACAAACATATTGGCAAAGCAAAAGCAATGTTCCTGGCAGGGGGGAAAATGCAGAGTGAGAGAGAACATTCTTTTCTGCAATTATAGTTGTCAGAAATCTTTCATTGGTCAACTTTCTATTTTGTTTAACCACTAAATGCCTACTACTTGGACAGTATGAAATACCGAGCTATGTTATCCAGAAAAATCATAGCTGAAGCATATATGAAGTTTGAAGATGTTTTATATAAGAAAATCTTTTCTAAAAATGAGAAGGCATTGATAAGCTTAACAAGTTACATGGGCCAGGACCAAAAGGGCAAATGCTTTATTCTCACCTTCCACAATGTGCAGATCATATACTTTATACCGTGTCAGTTTTAGTTGTGATATAGACATTCGTTCATTAGCATAGGACATAGGTAAAGGTAAAGGTTCCCTTGCTCGAAAGCCAGTCGAATCCGACTCTAGGGTTGCGGTGCTCATCTCCGTTTCAAAGCCGAAGAGCCAGCGCTGTCCGAAGACGTTTCCGTGGTCATGTGGCCGGCGTGACTAAACGCCAAGGCGCACGGAACGCTGTTACCTTCCCACCGAAGTGGTACCTATTAATCTACTTGCAATTTCTTGCTTTCGAACTGCTAGGTTGGCAGGAGCTGGAACTAGAGACAGGAGCTCACCCTGTCTTGCGGCACCCGGGTCTTGAACCGCATAGGACATAGAACCTAGCAATTTTCTCCAAAGAGAAAATCCTCTTTCAGAAATTGCCACAGCAGATGTAGCATTACTGCTGAAGCCAAACAAGAATATTCTGCTACCTGAATCTAAAAAGTTGTGTCCATACAAAGAATGGTCCCTCCTAGGCTCAGATGATAGGATATCCACAAGGACTTTGAGGAATGAAAACCGCATCTCACTACATTATTTAAGATTTATTATGAACTGAGATCGAGGCAGCTTCTTGAACAAGTGATTTCATTTTATTCAGCTCATAACACAAAGACAAACTTCATAGAACAAGGCTGGCTTATATATGATTTGAACGGGCAAAACCACACCCAACAAACAGATAACAACCAATAGGAATATGGAGCTTGGAACCAATGAGAGTGGTTCCCGCCGAAGGCAAAGGCTTCTCTGATTGGCCCATTAGGTCAATCCTTGCAATGCTCTTTTAATATAGACTGTGCATAAGCTCACTCATGTCTTTATTACATTAAGACATAACAAGATTCCTGAGTCTTTTTTCAAGAACTATCAGACGCGAGCAAATGTATTGTTTCTGTTTTCATAACGGGATCTTTTCTGTCCTCCAAAGTAAGACTGAGGAAGTTTTTTTTACTCAGAAGCCACAGAGATCACTTTAATTGGTCAGACAACTGGGGGGGGGGGAACATAACTATGCTTATTGACAGGTATATTTATTTTGTCATATTCAAAACCAATTTTGTCTTCATCAAAAGCAAATCTTTTCCCCTTTCCCAACAGCAGAAAACATTCTCTTCTCCATCTACCCTTTTGTTGTTGTTCAGTCGCACAGTCGAGTCCGACTCTTCGCAACCCCATGGACCAGATCCCGCCAGGCCTTCCTGTCTTCCGCCGTCCTCTGAAGTTGGCTCAATTTCCTGTTCGTTGCATCGATGACACCGTCTAACCATCTCATCCTTTGCCGTCCCCGTCTTCTACCCTTACCATCTACTTATTTAGCTGCACTTCTCCATCACACCAAAACTACGCACAGAGCCCATATGCATGGCTTTCCCCCCATTCTTTTATACCCACTATGATGTATTTAATTTTTAAGAGTATGACTATTTATAATTATCAGCCAAACAAGATGGGGATTTCCCATATCTGTTTTGGTATGTTAATTACAAGTCTGTTCTAGAACATTTTGGATGATTACAGCCAAGGCCATTATCATGTACCCAATGAGAATCAGATATATATTTTCTATCTACGCATATACAACTTTGCAGCTATAAGGTATGCGTTTAAGTGGGAATGCTTGAACTGTTATAGCAACATACAGGTCCATTAAGTACACGTTCAAACTTCTAAATGTGTGATTTGATTTAAATCATTGCTCCTGATGAATGAAATCAGCCCACCCTGCCTTCAAACAAGTGCCTGAACATCCCTCCCCCCTAAAAAACCCAGGCCCCTACACATTAGCTTCTGTAAGGTACCCCATGTGCCTCCTCTAAGCCAGGATCATTCCTCTTTAGATACCCCACTCAGTTCCTAAAAACCAAAATCGACACGCCTGAAGCAGAACCACAAGCCTGCCGAGGATTAACGAAGAAAGAAAGAGGGAGGGGAAATCATTTAGCCTGAAAATCCTTGGTCAGCACACTACACTGAATCAGATTCTCTTGAATCCTTAATTCAAGAACTGCCTGAAAGTCGTTACTGCCTAAAGGATGAAGCACACAGACTAGGGCCACTGAACGGGCCAGCCATGCCGAACCGTAGTTTGCAGGCCAGCCGGAGGCGAAGCTCCACGGGGGGCAAGGCCTGCGGATCCCCAAGGGGCTCCCTCCCTCGGCCAGACCAGACCCCCCAAAGGCGGAGACCTCTCGAAAAGAAGGCCCTTCACATCCTGGGGAGAAGGAACTGATGAGCCCTCGCTGTGGGCAGAGCAACCGGTCTGGTTCGCTCCGCTTCCGAGGGAACCTCCCAGCGCCTGACCAGAGTGAGACAGGAGGCGACGGGGAAGAGCCGAGGACTGGAGGCTCCCGACGAAGCCGGCGCTTACTCATCCCCCAGCAGTCACTGCTGCAGCGATTACTCACCCACCAGACCCCTCACAAGACGCCTCCTCGATCCAGCCGCTCCAGCGTCTCCCCAGCGAGAATCCGGCGAAGCTGAGTCTCAGCTCACAGCCACACAAGGAGGCGGAGTAAACAGCACGTGCGCCCGCCGGATGGACGCTCGGAAGCCGCCGGTCCCTCCCTTTCCTAGCGCGGAAGCCTCCCCGTCCTCTTTCGCCCGGCGCGGGCTGCGTCGCCCAGGAGATCAACTCGGTGATTTTGCGAGCCTATTTCGAGTGGATCTCACGGCACAGGAGTACTCTGCAAGGCTCTGATAATTAAAACCATCAGCGTAGCTCCTCTGAGCTTCCGGCTTCTTCGAGAGATAGGGCAGCTTGTTTGTCAAGAGTATTTCCTGGGAATCCGAGAGGAACTGCACGGCAAGAGGAGGAGGAGGACTCCTGAACACACACACACACACACACACACACACACACACACACACACACACCTCATCCCCCCCCCCCCCCCCCGTCTGCATTTTCTGGAAGTGATGCAGAGCAGACTAAGGTTTCCCATTCCCTTTCTAACGTTCGCTAACTCTCAGCTGTACTGTTCCTGGAGCATGATCCCTCTTGTGGTTAATTCACAAAGTCATAGTTGCCTTGTTGCCAGCCCCACACCCGGGGGAGGGGGGGGGGGGGGGAGGCTGGGGAGGACAGGGACTTTAGTAGGGTACAATGCCACAGAGGCCACCCTCCAAAACATCTACTTTCCCCGGATCTCTGTAGTCTGGGGATGAGCTCTAATTCAGGGGGATCCAGATGAGATGGTTAGACAGTGTCATAGATGCAACGAACATGAAATTGAGCCAACTTCAGAGGACGGCGGAAGACCGGAAGGCTTGGCGTGATCTGGTCCATGGGGTCGCGAAGAGTCGGACTCGACTGTGCGACTGAACAACAACAACAACAACGTGCGTTTGTAAGAAAGGTCCAACATGCGTTCACTTTAACCAACGAAACCGGGGACCAGTACACGGTGTTTGTAGCACACATTCAGCTGTACATGGATAGGCTGTAACGGGAGAATTACATATACAAAGAACAATCAAGTGTACATGCGTTCACTGTAATTTATGAACAAGGCTACTGTTCTGCATAGTTAGGGAGTCCCGAAAATGTGTTTAAACACTTTATTTACAGGTGGCCTAGTTTTGCTTCTTGTACTGTGTACAATGTAATATTCCCAAGGCAAGAACATTGTTTTGGGGCCAGCAAGCATTTCGGCCGCGAGAGTCATGCAAAGAAATATGAAAACATCGGCACCACCTAGAGAAAAAACGGCTGTGTGTGTCCCAAACCTAACTGGTTTTTCCTTTAACTCTCTACTTGGACAAATAACTAGAAGTCGCTTAATAAGAGTTCTTTGGCACTACCTTTCCCGCCTTTTCGGCGTGAAGCAGACTGGAACTACAGTTCCCAGAGACCATTGCTTCGGGTCCCCGCAATGTTGATTAGCCAGGCTACCTGAGCCTGTACGCTTGGCGTCCATCTAATTCCGTTAACTGAGGCGCTATCCGCAAATGTGGATGGCAAACAATAAGGGAGACCTGGTCCTGGCATTTCTCAGTTGAGTAACAGAAAAATCCGGTTTGTTTATTGTTTTTTAATGCCGGCATTACTGTGGTCACCTTCCTATATTTCTGGGCCTATCGGAAGAGACGACCTTTGGGATCGCACAGAGTTTCCAAAATGGCGGCGCCGTTGGCGGTAATTTCAGGTATGAGGAACCCGTGCGGGAGTTATAGCGGGCGACAACGAGTGTAGTTTGTGTCTGTTTTCTACAGTGTTGTGGTTTCGGTGCCATGTCAGTTTCTGCGCTCCTTGCGCTGCGAAAGCGAACGACCCTAAGCCTCCCATGTCCACGAGGAGTCAAAGGCGCTTCCAAGCAACCGATTAGGGAGCTTGGCGTTAACGTGAAAAGAGTCCCACTGGAGACCAGCAATCTGTCAAGTCAAAGAGTCCTGTTACATACAGCAGCCGTCCGGTTGCCCTGAAGGACCAACAGATAGGTCATTCGAGCCTAAGGCCTTCTTTTTATGTTGTTCCCAGCGCTGGTATTTAGAGATTTGCTGCCTGTGAACGAGGAGGTTCCTTTCGCTCACCACGGCTGGTAGCTATTAATGGTCCAGTCTTTCATGAATTTGTCTAATCTTCTTTTAAAGCCATCTATGCTCAGGGCCATTACTTGTTGAGGAAAGTAGTACTTCCTTGTGCTTATCCTGAATCTATTGTCCATTACCTTCAGTGAGTGTCTCAGAATTTTGGATGGCAGATGGAGAAGGTTCTCTGTCCGTTTTTAAAATCCCTGTAAAAAAGTCCACACACCCAAAACAAAGCAAAACCGTATCTAATACGTTGTTATTGTATATGACTTAGGCCCTGGTCACACGGAGCATTTGCCACGCTGAAGGCACGATTCTTCTGTGGAGTTTTCTGGCGCGATCACACTGGAACATCTGGGAGGCGTAGTGAACCCATGGTGTCCCGCCGAAGATGCCCATTAAAAAAGTAACTGGGACGACCTACTAGCAAATGGTTTGCCACGGGCTGCATGCGAATTCCCCCAGTGTGATCGCGTCGGCGTGCAGCTTTCTCCCCCACTGTCCTGTTTGCCTTGGGTGCCAAAGGAGGAAGCCGCCATCACGTCTGAACGCATAATTGTGGATCAAACTGCGACGGCACAAATAGGCATGCCTCCCCCCCCCCCGCGTTATCCAGCCCATGTGACCGGGACCTTAGATGAGCTTCTTTAATTGCACTGCATTTGCAGAGCCCCCCACCTTGGTCAGTGGCCCTATATTTTATTTTATTTTTATATAGATAGAGTGGTAATGATAATGGTGATAAGCATGCCCTGAAGGCCTGGAAGGAAACTGCATTGCTTCCATTCTCTAAGTATCCTAATTGTGAATATAACAGTGCGGTCAAAGGATAACTACTTTGCTTTTGGGGCTACGCACCCTCTGTGTAACCCAATCTAATGACATCCATTCTGTTTACTGTATTTTTCTCAACACAACTAACACCATGCATCCTATGTGAGTCTCCCATCTTTCATTTTTGGATCATTCATCTGTCAATGAAATTATTGCTGATTTATTATGCAGCCTTATACTAAAAGCCCTTTGAAGCTTTTCTTGGGTTCTGTGTATCATTAGAAAAGCAGAGTTTACTGTTCTAATCTGTCAGTCCTTACCCTGATAGCAGTCATCACCTCTGTTTAAATGCTGCATATATCTTTCTTTTCTTGATGTAAGGCTGTACTTTTAACTGCAGTGAGACATAGTCTACATGTTATGTATTTAGGTAGGAAACAAACTTTCATATAGCTTATGCTGAAATACTTGTGTGTGGGGTTATCCTATTTATCACTGGGCACAAAATTACCTTTTTTTAAAAAGTGTGATAATGTGAAGTAACCTGGACTCTTTGCCTGCTTCTGCAAAAACACATTTTTATCATCATTCTTTCCTTTCAAATCAGTGCTGATGATACAAATGGACACAGGCATGTGGTTATAGGTTACATGTGTCATGAGGGTATCGTCAGTCTGTATATGATCATCAGTATACAGACATCTTCCCTCATTGTACTTGCATGTTTGTATTTGAAGTATTGAACCCATTCAGTGTGAAATAACTTTGTTATCATATTCTCCAGTTGAAAAAAATATTCTGTGCATTTTTTTCAGTTGCTAGTTTATGGGGGCCCTACAAAGACCTTTGGCAGACTGTGGTTAATGCAATATGGAAAAGACAGCCAGAAGCGATACACCTTCTTGATCAGGTTTTAAAGAAACACAAACCTGATTTTATATCACTCTTCAGAAATCCGGTAAAAATAAACATTTCCCTATCTTTGGAGGTGGGGTGAGGTCATGTTGGTATTGTTGGAATCTCTCAGTTTTGTCTTGTGTGGTTAACAGTGAGGGTTGTGAAGAAATTAGTTTATAATAATGAAATACATATTTTGTCAATTGAATATTTTAACAGTGCATTAGTGAGCACATTCTTTCTGCATAGTCTTTTTCATTCAAATAACCTTGTTGTGGTTCTCTGTTTTCCCACTTTGTATTTACAAGTAGTACTGGAGTTTTGTTATATTCTTCTTAAGGGTCTGACTCTAAACACACCTAATGTTTATTTATTTACATTTTTATCCTGCCTTTCAACGCAATTGGGGCATGAGGCAGTTAATAATTAAAACAGTCTAATAAAAATATACCATAAAAGTAGAGCTAAAAATACAAACATGAAACAGAAGGCATCAAATTAAAACATAAAGTAGGAAGGTGGGATTATTGAAGGAACACCAGTCAAAATGAAGAAATCTTTGCCCTCTACTGGGAGACAGTGATAGAAAGGGAAGTAATGCTTATTTAAATCTGTTTGACTTACTCCTGATTAATATATTTGAGATTGGATTGTAAGAGACTTTTTGAGTATGCAAAATATTTTACAGCTATATTTTTCAGTTTAATTGGTACACTTGTAATAGAAAAGGACAGAATTCTTAATGTTTTAAAATACTTTTGAGTTCCAATAAATTTACTTAAGTGATTACAGATGCAGGTAAGCAAGTTAGTGACAAAACGTTTTTTGAATATTGGATTAGCACAGTGGCTAAGACTACAGTTTTAGGCACTTTTAACTCTGAAATATGTCCATTAAACATAGTGGAACTTCCCTCTGTGGGAACATGCATGGAACCAGGCTGTAAGAATGTGGACCTTGGAAGTCTATGCTTTAAATCTAATTTGAGACATATGAAGAGTTATGCCCATAAACTTAGGGAATCTCTTGTACTGTTCCTCAAAGCTTTTGACATTCTTGCTTGCATATTTAGCATCAGGGAGTTTGGAAAGGTTGTGGCCCACTAATGTTTCTCAGGAGAGGTCCGTTGTGCTTGGAAACAGAGATTTAAGCGTACATTTTCCTAAGCACATTTGTGAGAGAAGACAAGGGTATTCCTTTTCGTTTATTTATATCAGTTATTTATAGTCCACTTTTCTCACTGAGATTCAAGGCAGTTATTACACAGTGTAAATCAATGCCATCAACAGGATGTTACATCTAATAAGTAATGAAATAGGATTAGAATTGTAGAAATCTGAAACAAAGCATAAATATTAACATGATCTATTAAACAATGCAGAAATTACATAAAATAGATACAACAAAAGAGAGTATATACTATGCACAGTAGTGCAGTCCATAGTTCCTTTCCCTTTATTAAAACATTTTCCTGAAACATTCTGCTATAGTATAGCCCTATTCCCTTTGTAGGGATGCTCATCTGAAAAATTCAGTTTTGCTTTACCAGGAGAGTGGGAGCCTTCTTGACCTCATCAGACACAAGGTGGTGGCACAACAGAGAATGCACAAATACAGGCAGTTGTTGATCTTGCCCATTTGCAGGGTGGTACCTGCAGAAAGCCCTGGTCAGATGAGTGAAACTGTCATGGTAGAGCATAGGAGGAGAGGATGTTATGCAGAGTCCAAGGACACAGTAACAAGGATGCAGAGCGAGTCAGGAAATCTTTTATTCTTATAACAAATAACTCCCGCAGTCACTCTATCTCCTGTGTTTTTTCTGAAGGATAGGCACTTATTAGCAAGTGTAGGATGTTGCAAACATTTAACCTAATTGATGGGCTGAAAGTAATTCACAGGATAAAGAAGGGTTTCCTTAGTGAAAACCAAAAATTGGAAAAGCAATATATTATTTTTATGGCTTCTCATCAGAAGAGATATTTTTTCAAAATGGAGTTATTTTATTTTAACGAAGTATAACATACAATAACTGTATTTAATCATTGTAAATAAATACTTGCAAATTGTTTAAGATCCTTTTCTACATCACAAGATGTATGTGGAGTATAACATTTATTAGACTATTGTCATTGAGTTGAATCATAGGTAGTGTTTACAATGGAAAGATGTCTAAGGGTATTATGACAAATTTATTTCTGATGAATTTGCATTTTTTATCTGATTGTTTTATAGCCAAAAAATGCTCAACAGCATGAAAAGATTCAGAAAGCAAGTACTGAAGGAGTCGCTATCCAGGGCCAACAGGGAACTAGACTATTACCAGAGCAGCTCATCAGAGAGGCCTTTATTCTAAGCAATCTTTTTGATATTGGGGAACTGGCAGCTGTGGAACTCCTCCTGGCTGGTAATGGGATCCTGCACTGAGTGCAGGCTATCTGTTTCTTTTACATTCTGATTGTGTATTATTTAGCAAATTATGTTCTTAAAAACTTGAATGTTAAATCATAAGAGAAATCATGCCTGATGGTCAAAATAAAGCAGGATTTTGGGAGCTAATTTTTGGGAAGAAATTGTTCCTTGCATTCAACAAGTGGTGAACTTCAAGGCTTATGCTGGTGCAGAGGAAGAGAAGGAGACTGTAAGCCATTTTGAGACTCCAAATAAAGGGCGGGGTATAAATCCTCTTCCTTAATTACACGTGTTCTAATAATATGCAGTAAAGACTACGTTAGCTGGTACTTGGTTATCCATATAACTCTGTTAACCAGCACCTGTAGTAGGTGGCAATGCAAATCCTCCTTTGGTTACCTAGAAAAATTCCAAAAGCCATCTGGTATCTATATTCAGCACTTGCAGAGCTCAGATTCATAAACTCAGGTTCGCAATATGTCTGGAGACAGAAGGCTAGTCCCTGAACTTACCAGTGACTGGTGAAAAGAAGACCCACCAAGTTACAACCTTACTGTCACTGATCCACTCCCTCACTTGCAGCCAAAGCTTCTGCTGAGGATGAGCGATGAAACAGCCCTTTTGCCAGTGCCGCAGCTTGTGAAAAAGGCTGCTGCAAACCTGGCATCCTTTAGGATGTTGCAAAGTGCAGTGTGGCTGGCCAGGTGGTAGCCAAGTCAAACCCCAAAATGAACTGTGAGTGTGGCTTGCTGGATAAGATCGCCCCCTTCCCTGATGTCTCAAGGAGGCTGCTTTGCTCCTGTGATATCGGGAATTAAAGAAATATAAAGCTAGTCTGTTACAGAACTTTATTTTGGTTTTATGAGTGGTGGATACATACTTTCAATATTGTTTTGTGTACTTTTTGTGTACAAAAACATAGCAGCAATTATCAGAGTAAAGCTCTGTTAACCACATTTGATTAATTGGCTGCCCCCACTCCCCAAAGCTTTTACACAATTTTGGGTTTAGTTGTCACACTTCTGTTTTCAGTTGCTTTGGAGTCAGATTTGGATATGGATAATACTTGCTCTGTGTCTGTTGGCAGAGCTGGTGGAGGTTGTAATTGTGACAAAGAGACAGACACACAGAGGAATATTACATACACACAACTGATAACTGGCAAAAATTTGGGCTTCTCTCACAATTGAGTGAACTATTTTTCATTTTTCAGGAGAGCACCAGCAGCCTTATTTTCCTGGCCTAACAAGGGGCTTAGTGGCTGTTCTCTTATACTGGGACGGGAAAAGATGTATTGCAAATTCTTTGCGAACGCTTATCCAGTCTCGGCGAGGCAAGACATGGACATTGGAGCTCAGGTCTGTCTGTCTTTTAAGCTGCAGCATTTGAAAAACTGTAGATAAAAACTGTTAAACACAGTTTCTGTGTTAGATTTAGATTGTTTAAATACTGATTGATTTATGTCAGGAGCAGGGAGGGCAAAGTTCCCCACCTATTTTGTACTTTATGTAGTTTTTTTGTCTTGCTATGGTTTTTTGAGGGGCTGGTGCCTGCATTATGGTTATTTCTACAGAATTTAGCTTTGCTTTTTCCTCCTTAATGTATTCCATCATCTTATTGACTTGTGAGGCTTTGAAATCTGAACATTGGTCTGTCCAAAACAGTTATAGGGAATAACTCCAAATACTGGACTGCTGTAATCACTTAAGCATCATATGAAAATGGCTGTTTGTGATGTAAATATTACTCCTGCCTCTGAGGATCTTTTCTTTGCTAATATCAATTCAGCCATATGGGGGGGAGGGGATTTGGGTATAATTAAACATTCCCCGTAGTGTTCAAAAAGTCTTTTGCTTTAGGCAAAACAAGGGCCTACAGGGACCAAGTTGGATTTTTCACTTTGAACAACAGTCCCACTGTAAAGGTAAAGGTTTCCCTTGCTCGAAAGCTAGTCGAATCCGACTCTAGGGGGCGGTGCACATCTCTGTTTCCAAGCCGAAGAGCCAGCACTGTTCAAAGACATTTCTGCGGTCATGTGACTGTATCACAAAAGGGTTTTCATGTGAAATTGGAATTGTTCAAGAAATAGAACTTTCATTCCATGGGGGCTATGAAACTGGCAGTTTGTCCGTGCAAGCAGCGAGACTTAGGATCCAGAGGTGCTAGTGTGGATGGTACCTCAGCAGATGTTGGGTAGAGCAGGAATTTTTTTATGGCTCCCCCATGTAAAAATAATCTCCCTACAAGTAAGACACATCAATAAAATTATTCTAGCAAGGCTTTGTTGTTTTGTTCTTATAAGCAATTTTTTTAGCCGGATGGGGCATTAAAATACAGTACCCAACCTGTAGTCTTGCACGGTCCACTTTATTCTGTTTCATGCTTCCTTTTATTCTGACTGATGTTGCTTACATTTTTGTGGATATAGAGTGACTTTGAAAAAACTGTACAAACATAAGAGTGGCTGTGTTGGATCAGACTGGTGGTTCATCTTCTCCAGCATCCTGGTTCACACAACAGCCAATCAGATGCTTTTGGAAGCCTACAAATAGGGCATGGAGACCAAAGCCTCCACATGTTTCCCCCCCATTGGTGTTTAGGGGTTTACTCCTCTGAATCTGAAGGTTCCATTTAGCTATAGCTAATAGCTATTAATGGACTTATCCCCGTGAATTTATCTGATACCTTTTCCAAAAACAGCTGAACTGGTGGCCACCAATATATCCTGTGGCAGTAATCACTCTTTGTGTGAAGAAATACTTTTTTCTGTCCTGTTTTTTGTCCATCAGCTTAATTGGGTGTCCAGATTTTTTAGCTTTACAGAAGAGGGAGAAGAAGTTCTCTTTATCCACTTCATTCAAAATCTTATAAACCTTTGATGTTACCCCTTAGTTGTTTTTCTCCGAATTAAGAAGCCCCAGATGCCTTAGCCTTGCCAACCCCTTGGTAATTCTGGTTACCTCTTTCTGTACTTTTCCCAGTGTTTTTAAATGTATGATAACCATGACTATTTTCCCCCGTCACTATGTACGGTATTCCAAGTGCAGCCTCACCAGAAATCTAGACATTATGATATTGGCCAATTTGTTTTCAATCCCTATCCTAGTAATCCCTAGTACAGAATTTACCTTTTTCATCCTTGCTGCTCACGGAGTCAGCATTTTCATCAAAATACCCACCATCATCCCAAGATCGATCTCTCTCTCTCTCTCTCTCTCTCTCTCTCTCTCTCTCTCTCTCTCTCTCTCTTAAATCAGTCACCACTAGTTCAAACTCCACTAGTATGTACTTAAAGTTAGAATTATTTGGATCATTTTATTCTTGCATTGAATTTAATATGCCATGTTGTTGCCCATACAGTTTGGGGAGATCCTTAGCTAACTTTTCATAGTCCTTTTGGGATTTTACCATCCTGAATAATTGAATAATTCAGTATAATCTGGACATTTGGTCACTTCATTGCTTACTCCCAATTCTGGATCATTTGTAAACAAATCAGATAGGTTACTCCCAGTACTGATCTTTATGAAAGCCCAGTTGTTGCTTCTCTTCATTGAAATAATTGTTCATTAATTTCTGCTCTCTGCTTACTGTATAACAAGTTTGTAACCCACAAGAGGAACCCCATCCTGTTACTCCAAGACTGCAAAGTTTACTTACAGCGCAGTCCTAAACTGTGTTAGACCCTTAGTCCATTGAAGTCTTCCAGACCAGTTTTGTCCATGTATCCAGAAGACTGGTGAGACAGGGCTTTGGTTTACCTAAGCCATACTCGTTCTTCCTCAGTTGGACTTTTTCCTGTACATGCTTAGTAATTTCGTAACAGTTTCCACCAATTTACCTAGAGGAGATATTAGAGTAACCGGCCTGTAAATTTCAGTATCTTCTCTGCATTCGTTTTTTAAAAATTGCACTATCTTTTTTTTCATCTTCCCATCCCGAGAACTGGAAGATATTAGTGATGCTGCATATTTTTTAAAAATCTACAATTTCTCATTAGGGTTCCTTAAGAATGTCAGCTGTCTGTCTCCTGGATGCATAAATTTGCTTTAATTTGTCCATAAGCCCCAGAACTTCATCCTTCATCACCTCTGTTTGACTCAGTTCTTCTGAGATATGCTATAAAATTAGTTGCTTTATCATGGGTAACTTATATTTTCAGCAGTGCAAACCAGTGCAATGAATTCATTCATTTTCTCTGCAGTCTCCTTATCTTCCTTCAGCAAACTTACAACCCTGTCATCCAAGGGACCTGTCACTTTGCTGGCCAGTTTTCTGCTCCTGATGTAGTTAAGGAAACTTATTTTTTGTCTTACTGATAAAAACATTATGTTCATATTCTCCACAAAATTACCAACCTGTTTCTCTCAGCTATGCCCAGGTCCCTGCTTCAGTTCCAGTTAGGTCAGCAAAGAAACATTAGTAACTAAATGAATACAATTTGATATACACTGAATTACTACCAGCCTTGGATCCATTTGATGGTTAGAGAAAATACATCATTCCAAACCCATTAACTGGTGACAGCACATCCCAAAAGTCTTGCCTAGCTGTGGAGGTTGGGCCAGTTACTAGTGCTGGATATTCCATTCATGTTTTGCCTAACAATGTGGCTATCATTTTATTTCTGACTTTCTAGAAAACTTTAGAAGCCCCATTATGCTCTCGCATAAAGTTAGCTGAGTCAATATTATGTCTTTCCTTTGCAGTCCTGAGCTGGTATCTATAACAACACATTTCACAGATGAGCTGATGGAGCAGGGTTTAACTCACAAAATTCTAACTTTGGTGTCTCAAATTGATCTGAATACTGAGTTTGAGAAATTGCAAAGAGAGCGGGGGCTTGGCAGTGAGAAACACCGCAAGGAGGTAAGAGAGATTCTGCTGCTGAGTAAGCATCAGACGTTCTGTTGCTTGAAAAGTAAAGGCAGTCTCTTTTGATTCATTACTAAGATTCATACTCATTCATTTCACAGTAAAACAGCAAATATTATATTAAGATCTTGCTATTTTCAGAATTTAAAGTTCTTAGTAACTTTTAGAACCTGTTGCAGTGCAGTAAATCAGTTCATTAAATGGAGAAACTTTGATACAGTGATCTAAGTTTGCATGTTTTAAAGGTATCTGGGTATAATAATATTTTACTTGGTATTTCTTTTAGGTTGCTGATCTCATCAAGGAGTGTCGACTGTCATTGGCAGAGAGCCTGTTTGTTTGGACTTGTCAGTCACCACTGAGCAGGGATGATACTTTAATCCTTATTACTTACTTAGAGAAAGTGACTGTGGAAGCTGATGGCTCATTAGACAATGTGAACTTGGCATTGCTCATGGCTCTTCTCTACAGCTTTGATGTTGGCTGTGTAGAACAGGGCGCTGAAGATCGAGAAGGTAACATTGTTTCTCTGCCCACTTCAGGCTATGCAGAAAAATATATTTTTACACAAAGATTACAACTGATAGTTAAAATTCTGCAGTTAAAAGTATAACCATGACTCGTTTATGTTGCTTAATCATTACTTTGATAAGGCAGAATATCTGCGTGTAAAGAGCCATCAAGTCGCAGCTGACTTATAGTGACCCCAGCAGGGGGCTTTTCAAGGCAAGTGAGAAGCTGAGGTGGTTTACCATGGCCTTCCCCTGCAGAGTCTTCCTTGGTGGCCTCCTTCCAAGTCCTGCCCCTGCTTAGCTACCAAGATCTGACAAGATCATGCTATACCATGCCACCTTCCCTCCTGCAGAATATCTAGCTGTGAGGAACTTAGCGGAGGAGAATGTTTGGGATTCTTTTTTTGTGAAATGGGATTGCTGAGCTCTGAGGCTCCTGTTCACCTGTATGTAAAACTCAGAAACCCATAGTCCGATTGCCTTGAAGAATTGATGGCTGAACCTGAATGGTACAGAGCTGGAGGAGAGGAAATTCGGGTTGCATATGTATTCCCCAAACCTATTTTTACCTGTCACCCTGCCATTCCATACCTCTGTAAATTGTTAAGGATTCAGTCTAACTCGCAGGTGTATATGTGCTGTTTGAGATTGGGGGAAGCCCTCCAGTCCCTTCCATTCATCCTCAAACTGTTTTAGCTTCAGAGTGGTCAGAGTTCATAAAATGTAATAGCATCTGGCATATCCGTGTGTCTGTGAGAGAGATGAAGAATTGGAAGGTGCATGATGCACACGTCAGAAGCCTTCTATGGAGATTACTCATTTTTGGAGAAACAAAAAGGGGATACAGTCTGGAGGAATTACCATATGCTTAAGTGTTTAGTTGGGCACTTGAATCCCATTGATATCAACAGCTCTAGGCCTACCTTTATCTGGATTTATTTATTATTTGTGCTCAAACTTTGTTAAAAGAATAACTGCTATAAACTCAGCTGGCACAATTGTGACCTTGGTTTAAGTGTTTAGCTGAAAACTTCACATAGTGTAATGTGAACTTTTTCGCTAAAAAAGTCTGACATAGTACAATATAAAGCAAGTGGAAGATATTTTTGTATTTGAAAAGTACCTATTTTGTTATCCATGGAAGAAACTATCTTCTTTTACTCTTAGAGCTGATGCAGTTGCCACTGCTCACAGACAGACAATACATAGCCGCAGTCCACACACGCCTTCAGGAATCTCAGCCTTGGAAGCTACCAGGACTTCAGGCTACTGTTAGATTAGCCTGGGCTCTTGCATTGCGTGGAATTTCACAGCTCTCTGATGTGACAGGTAAATTGGATTCAAAATAAAATTTATTCGCAAGCATGTATCAGTCTTTACCCACATTCTTTTGCTTATGATTGTAACATCAAGCACACTTCTGTTGAGCACTAATTCAGTGAGGAGCTTCAATGAGACTGTCTTTTATTTTCACTCTTCTTCATTCTCTCCAGCATTTGCAGAATTCACTGAGGCAGATGAAGCAATGGCGGAGTTAGCAATTGCAGACAATGTTTTTCTGTTCCTTACTGAATCTGTGATGAGAGCTGAAAACTTTTACCAGGAGGAATTTTACATACGCAGAATCCATGATCTTATCACAGGCTTTCTTGCTGTCATGCCAATGAAAGTAAGTGGTATGTGTATAGTCTTAATAAGCACCGCTGTGCAGAATGTTTCTGGAGGCAAATGGTGTGTGCTGTTTCATGTTCCCAGTTGGGGGCTGCTATGGTTTATGTGTGTGTGTGTGTTAAATCTTTATTTACATAATTTTGGAGTGCAGAATTTTTAAAAAATTAATATAATACTCGCTGTCTTCCTACCAGATAGTAGTTTTTTTGGACATGTAGTGTACTATCCAACTAGAATTATATTTTGAAGTCCCTTTACTGTGTGTTTTACTATGTTTTAATAATGTATGTGAGCATTGTAGTCTGCGCTCCCTACTTAATCTTTTGCACTATTTTCATATAGTGTAGCAAAACAAAACTTTAAGTAAGGTACTAGAATTCTTTCTCTAATTGAACCTATTTAGACCAGCACCACTTGCATGATAATATTGGTGAGTCAAAAGTGACTAAGAGCTGTTTGTTTCATTCTTAATTTTAAAAGCCTGTTCTCTTTTGGCAAATTGCAGGTGAAACAGTTGCGGAACCGAGCTGATGAAGACGCTCGCATGATCCACATGAGCATACAGATGGGTAATGAACCACCTCTTCCTCTTAGACGGGATCTGGAGCACCTGATGCTTTCAGTAAGTTCTTGTTTAAAAAACAAATAATAAAAAATAAGATCATGGGTTGGATTCAGTAGCCCATTAGGGAAGGAGCTAAATCACTTTGCCTCCACAAGCACAGCTGATAAAAGAGGGGGGGCACCATTGCCCCTCTCCCTCCCTATGAAGGTCCCATGCCTCACATACTTGTTTTTCCATTCAGACCCCATAACCCTAGGATTCAGCTTTCTGGGGATCAGAAGGAACTGATGAGGAAGGAAGGGTGTCAAAAATTCACATCTGTCAGTGACCTTTGGAAAAAAATAAACGGGAGCCCTCGAGAGTAATGATGGGAAAGGGGAAGAAGAAGAAACTTTTGAGGCCAATTCGCCTCCCAGCCCCAAATAGCTCATTTGGGTTCCCTCAGGAAAGTTGCTTTGGTGATAAAGTTACCAAAAAGGGGCATAGACTCAAATATAGTGTGCTAAGGGGGACAGCATCTTTCTTGCCCCTTTCTTCTCCATTTTCTCTTTGTCCCTGAATTGAATTGGTGGGAGGGGAGATTGTGCAGTGCCTTGTGTTGGCTGTGCAAGAAGTGGTCACTCACTTCTACTGGGCATTTCCTTTTAGGTCTGTGGCAAGTATCTGTGCACTGCTTTCTGGGGATATTCCCTGATAACATGAGGGAAGAATGCATGTGCAACCCTGAGCCGGAAACAATTTGGTCTGGGGAATTACTCATGTTTTCTGTTTTCCCATGAATGGTGGGTATGCTGTCAGTAGAGACCCTCCTATAATTTTGGCTGCTGAATCCCAACGTTGTAATGATAGAGAATGGTATAAACTATATTAAACTAAAATAGCCTGAATGCTGGTTAGTGTTAGCAGAGTCCAGATCATAAAGTGTTGTGTAAGTTTTGAAAAGCAGTCCAGTGTGAGCCTTGGTAAACACGCAGGGAAAGCTGCTGTGTTGGGGCTGCTGCTGATGACACCTCTCTCCCATCTGCCTTTGCTGCATGACTGATACCATCGAGAAAAGAGCTTGGCTGATTTTGAAAAACTGTGATGGGGCATACAAGGTAAGGTATTGTTGCTTGCATGTTGAGCCAAAGCCTTTTCTTTCTTAATCTACAGATTGCTGAGTTGTACAAGAAGGATCCCTTTAATCTGGAACTTGCTCTTGAGTACTGGTGTCCTTCAGAGCCTCTGCAGAGCTCCGCTATCATGGGATCCTATATTGGGATAACTCATCAGAGACCACCTCAGCGTCAGGTTAGGAAAGATTGCCCTCCCCCCCCCCCCCCCGTACTGTTTGGGAGGATGGCTTACAAAGACACCTTGCTTTTTCAGAATGGAAGTGCAATCTGCATGTCCATGAAAGGTGGGAACAAGCTAGGAAGCAGCTATATCTGCCTGGTCTTCTAAAATTCAGTACACCACATACCTTCTCGTTCAGATAGGTATGAAAGATGGAGGAAAGGATCTTGAGTTGATCTTTAGCATCCTCCCCACCTTCTGATCTAAGGATCTACTTTTACAGATAGCAATACTGATAAGCCTTATAGGGCAATTATAAGGATTACTTGATAGCATTCAGAGTGTTGTCAATGCACAACAGTTTTTAGTTTTACCTTACAAAGTAACTATGTTCAAGGGCACATTCCAGCCACTGTTAAGGACTTTAGGGCCCATTGATTATAATTGGGAAGTTAAGCACATGCTTATATGTATGTATTTATGGCATTTGTATGCTTCTTTTCTCCCGAAGGGACCTCAAAACAATACCGGAACACAGTAAAATGATTAATATGAACAGGTCTCAGCCTGGTCCTGATTGAAGAGGTTGCTCCACAGGCTCCAGGCTGTGAGCTCTGCATCTAGAGCCCCTTGAGCTCTGCCCAGGCTTTAAATACCTACAAGGAGAAGGAGACCAAATATAGCCCACGTGGAACTCAGCTACTGCAAGCGTGCTGCCAACGAGATCTTCCTCACACATCCCCACCCATTACAGTCATTAAGATTTTTATGTGCGCGATCTTTCCCCCTAGTGTTGGGGGAAGGGATCATGTCTGCATCAACAATCTGTTTAGTAAAGTTAAGACTAGCAAAAGTGATTGATGCAAAATATCTGAGCAGGATATTTTTGATCTACATTAGACCATTTTGCGGTTACTACCAGTGTTTCCTCTAAGCTGAATTAATGTGAACTAGCTCAGTTTTTTAGCCTCCGGCTCACACATTTTTGTCTTGCTCAGGAAGGATGGCTCCAGGGCAAACTAATTTATGCAATAGCCAAATCGCTTGCTCACAACTTTAATGCCAGTAGCTCACAAAGTAGAATTTTTGCTCACAAGACTCCACAGCTTATAGGGAACACTAGTTACTACTATCTTTCTAAATCACTATCTTTGTGAATCCTCCAGTGAATGCTTTTGTTGTTGTTTTGGTTACAGGTTGTTTTGTCTAAATTTGTTAGGCAAATGGGTGACCTCCTTCCATCCACAATTTACATTCCTTATCTGAAAATGCTCCAAGGATTGGCCAGTGGACCCCAGTGTGCTCATTACTGCTTTACTTTGCTGAAGGTTAATGGCAGCAGCCATGGTAAGAAATATGGCTCCCAAGAGGCCACTGGCCTTTTCCCCTCTTCACTGTAAAGCTGACATGATGGAGCCTTTCAAAGGTGCAGGCATATTGCTTGGAAAGGCAGCCTGTCTTCAGACAGGAAATGAAAGCTTTGTGTTTGGTTATTTTGTGGTGCCCCTTGATTATAAAATGAATTTCCAGTGAATATAACTTTGTACTGTGATGTGACAGTGTATTACAAACTCTTTATGCAGGTCAACTGAAAAACCTAAGTAAACTGTTTCTACCAAAGGCTCAAAGCTAATCTTTATATTCTTTTGTTGTATTAGTAATTTTGGGGAACCAAGTAGCTTCTAATAGTGGCTCATGAACACTTTTCTAAGGGCCTAATTTTCAGACATTCAGTCAGAAATCTCTCCTACAAAGCTGCTCTCTATAGATAGCAGAGAAGGGCATCAAGCATACATTGCAAAACTCTTTTGTTCATATATCATTTAAGAAGTGTTATTTCACTTCTAAGTTTGGGGCAGGTTTTATTTTCCCATCTAGATTCAATTAAATTAATAGAGCCTGTAATCATGTGGGTATTTTTCTTTTCTAGCTGAAAACATCCAAGGAGCAGGTGGCAGTCCTGTCTCCTGGGAGCATTTCTTCCACTCTTTGATGCTGTATCATGAACACTTAAGGAAGGATTTGCCAAGCGCAGATAGCATTCAGTACCGTCACCTCCCTCTCAGAGGTATCACCCAGAAGGAACAAGATGGATTGATTGCCTTTCTGGAGCTTACAAGTACTATAGTGAAATGGGTAAGTAGCCAATCCAGATTACAGTCCATTATTGTCCATTACTCAGTAGTTTGAGCCATATTTTGACTGATAAATGTAAAATCAATTAAATTGGGTTAAAAAACCCCACATTTGATATTAAAAGCTTGAAAGCACTTGGAATGAGAAGTGTAAACTGAGAAGGAAAAAGAATACCGGGAAGATTTAACCACGGATCCAATTTAAGTAAATTGTGAAAGAATTATAGAAAGGGAGCAAATATTATGTCGTTAAACATAGGATTTTATTCTAATGGGCACTGTAAGTGACATTATTTACGTTTTGCTTGAATCATAGAGATCATTGGTGTGAATGTGCAGCATTATACAAACAAAATTGCATTTGCTTTCTCTCCTTTGTAGAGTGAGAATGCTCGCTTGGCTCTGTGTGAACATCCTCAGTGGACACCAGTGGTAGTCATTTTGGGCCTTCTGCAGTGTAGCATCCCTCCCATCTTGAAGGCAAAGTTATTAGATACTCTTACAAGTTTTGGGAAATCTCCTGAAATTGCTGCTTCCCTCTGGCAATCCTTAGAGTATACACAGGTATCTTTAATTTTTTTTTCTGTGGCTGTTAGTTCTTAGAATCAAAACTACATTCTGTTTGCAAAGTGTGCTTTTAAATGTGTGTGTATGCTTTTCTTTAAGTTTTCTTACACTACAAACGTTACATTGTTCTTACTTGAAAATAGGGCTGACTGAGCCTAAACTTAGTCTGTTCAAGGCATTCTTTCCTCATCTGGAAATCTGGACTATGGTGGCAGCAGCTGGAGAAGACATCTGGTTTCTGCACAGGCTCAGTGGATTCCCTGGAAGCTTTGCTTTCTTCATGGTGTTTATTTCTGCTGGGGTATCTTATCCCTTTTAGCAGATCTTGAATAAAGCTAGGAGGAAATTGCTTGTTGAAGTGGTTGGAGGTGAAGGGTTGTGTGTATGAGTACATATGTACAGATGCTCAGCAGCTCACTCTCACTGGCTTCCAGTGAAGCTCATGGTCCATCTTGCAGTGAAAGAGCTGGTGCAGGTGTAATGTTCCAAGTGCTAGTTAAGAGAAGGCCATGGGATGGTATATCCCCTGTAGCTCTTTCACTACCAGCGAAAGCTATGGTTTCTATACCATACAGTCTGCACCTTAGTTAACCCTGGCTCACCCTAACTGAAGCGTGCATTTAACCTCTTTGCTGATAGCCACAGGGGAGGGGGGGAACTAGAGTGGATCTGCATACCATATGGGAGGGGGAGGAAGAGGGAGCATGTAGTTGGATTTGGGTCCATTACTTTTGCACCAGCCTGGAATTTTCTTCTAGAATGGAGGTCTTTCAGGTACTTGGTTAACATCTTGTATGGTAGAAAATTACAGGTGCAGTCTGCCTTTTGTGAGTGGCAATGCCAACATTAGATAGTAGGTTTTTGAAAACTGTTGTACAGCATAGTTAATCTTTTTGTTGCTAGATATGCAGCCATGTTTCAGCAATTGTACAAAAGTATTTCCTTTCTCTTGTGTTTATTTTGTAAGGTACTGCAGACTGTAAGAGTTCCAAGTCAGAGGCAAGCAATTGGTATTGAGGTAAACTTTTATTTCCTTTCTTTGCGGCATTTAAAAGGGCCAAGAATCAAGACAACTGGAAACATCTTTCCGTATTGATGACTGCTGTTTAATTTCTACACTGCATTTAGGAACTTTTGCAATCTGTTTGGGGGTGGTCAGTTATTGATTTATTCCTTTATAAAATATATCAACCTGGTAGAACAACAAAATGTGAAACATTAGGCATGTAGAAAAGGAGGAAGAAGCAGAAATAGGTATATGAGTGAAAAGTCAGAATCTATTGCAGTTGTGCAAAAATCACTTTGTACTTCTGTGGATTTATTTTATTAAGAGGAAGCAAATTATGCTAAAAGTGCTAAAATAAGTTGGAATCTAATAAATACATTTTGGGTGTGCATTTTCCTGATCTAAATAAGTGTTCAAAGTGTTACACTCAGTACTGATTCACACCTGTAAGGGTGGGACTGAGGTGGTGGAATAGAGTTCCCCATTCCAGGCTGCAGGAAGGTCTGTACTACTATCCTGTGGCTAAAAAGCCCCCTATTGAAAGAAAACCAGCACCAAAATTGAAGAGAGGGTAGAATCTTTGTCTCCATTGTACTGGTTTTTCCCACCTGCATGGAATATTTATGGAATAGAATATTTGGAAATGAAATCCACCTATAGCTTGAAGTGGTAAGGTTCATTCTGCTACCCCAGGGCTCTACCACATCACTGTACATGTGTGAACCTGGCCTCAGTTGGCAGATGAATGTACATACATGCGTACAAAGGGGTCACAACTTCACATCCCTTTGAAACTTTTTTGTTTTTCTGAAGTATAGCAAAAATGGTGTGGGGAGGTTGGTTTATTGTCTTTTTTCTTATTTTCTTGGAAAGGTTGAATTGAATGAGATTGAATCCCGTTGTGAGGAATATCCTTTAACTATAGCCTTCTGCCGGTTCATTAGCACACTGGTAGAAAGCTCATTTCCTTCTAACCTGGGGGCTGGATTGCGTCCTCCAGGCTTTGATCCCTATCTGCAATTTTTGAGAGACTCTGTGTTTCTTCGTTTTCGTACAAGAGCCTACCGTAGAGCTGCTGAAAAGGTAACAGTTGCTTTTATGGTGTTTATATACCTTAAGGTAAAAAAATTTGTAAATTTGATGGGGGTACTAATGATGTAATTTTTATTTCATTTAATTTTTGCAAAAGTCAACAGCAGCAAAACTGAACAACTAGCTCCATGAACTCCAGTGATCATGGCACTATAAGGTTTTCTTAATCCTTTGGAATTCAGTGGCATGAGGTTGAAATAAAAGCAGAGGTTTAGGCCTGGGCCGTTTTAGTCCCAGGGGAGATTATGTGGTTGAATTATGTGGTTGAAGGTTTTGGTAAACCGTGGTCTATTCCTTTGCACATACGAGAATCTATCTGTTCAACATAGTATTACAGGGAACCTCGGACAAACACATTCTAGAATTATTCTGTGTTTAAAACATTTCCGTATGTTGTCCTGACTACAGTATGCCAAAAGGAAGAGCCAACAAGGTGTTTATCCCAAACTGAGGACATTTAGGACACCAAATTCTGTGCTGCAAGAGACCCACTAAGTTGTCATAGGACATTAACAAATCAAGACTGCTGGAAACTCAAAGTAATTATCTACATAATTACTTTGATTGTCTCTGCGTATTTCACAGTTCTGGCTTTGTTTCCTTCCAGTCAGCTTGAAGGTGGATAATTCTGCCACCTGTCTGCTGTTGGATAGTTCACTTTGTAGTGATGCTGCAGAAAGAGACAAACTTGCCCTAACATCCTTTAGGCTAGGTGCAGTGATCCATGAGATCTTTCCTGCCTCCCCTATCCCACTGTCGCCTGTTGCACCATTTGAAGCCACACCCCTTGGGGTTCAGGCAGTAGCAAGAACAACGCTGAGCATGGTGTGGGGGTCTGCAGTAGGAGAGTCAAATCCGGAAAAATAGCCCCACCCTGGCATCAGCAATCGGGCACTTACACTAGCAGGAAATTACCATTGGGCATACCCAATATATTTATTTAGGTATATGGCCTTGGGTTCCATTGGGATGGGGGAGAGTCCCTTTTTAAGCTTTCTAAACAAATGGGATGATGGTGGGGAAATTGCTTGCTCTAAAGGGTTTGGGTTTTTAAAAAATCATTGCTCACATTGAAGCAGCCAAGAAAAAAAATTACATGTAAAGCTGTAAGCAGTATTCCCATAAAATGTGAGTATACATTGATGTATGCATGAAACCATTGTAGTTTCCCATTTTATTTTCTGTCTGAAATATGTTTCTTACTTACAGTTTGTTTATATGGTTAGGTGTAATTTTTAAAATTTGTATTAACAGTATGAGCATAACCTTGTGTGTGTCTTCCTTGACAGTGGGAAGTAGCTGAGGCTGTTCTGGAGGTGTTTTACAAATTGCTGAGAGATTATGAACCTCAGCTTGAAGATTTTGTGGACCAATATCTGGAGTTACAAGGTAGGCTCTTTCTTCACCTGTGCTGACTTAATTTTTTGCATTTTGCTTAGTGTTTACCTCAATCAGGGCCATGGTCCTCACTATTTAGACAGGCTCTTGGAAGCCCATTGAGTAATCTGGTGTTACAACTATTATTTAACCTCAATAGTATGGAAAGAGCTGTACAAAACATAAGAGTGAGGAGTTCCCTCACTATAGGATTGCTATCTGTGTTATATAACTAGGAGAGGGCAGGTTTTGGCAAATGGGTAATGGAGCAGTATTTAAAAGTTCAGGTAGCTGGGAGTTAAGATGAGGAAAGGAGACTTTGTTTTGTTTTCTCCAGAGAAGGTTTTGGGAGGCACTTGAGTTAGGGTAGGTGAGTGTGGCAGGAGATGACTCAGTATGTTCCCAGTCATAGGGTGCATAGTAGAAAGAGATTGACTTTGTTTAGGGACGGCATGGGTGGAGTGTAAGGGGAAATGGGGGGTGATTCACTTGGAAGCAGAGACCTTAATGCTAAGAACTAGAAGCTTGAATCTAGTGCTAAGAACCCAGAGGATTTACTTAAGAGAGCTAATGGGGTGCAGAAGAAAATTTTTTTAGGTAAGATGGCTTGATTTTTAAAAAGAGAAATAACGGCAAGAGAAATAAAGCCAGCAAGGATACATTTAGAGTGCTATAATTCGGATGCAACTAGAGCAAAGACACATTCTTCAAGAATATGTCCAGAGTTTAAAAAGAACTCTTCAGGGATGCTATAAAGGGAGAAGTAGTGGTAGATTTTGTGATTATTTAGATGGAGGAGGAAGGAGGCAAAGATTATGATGATGGTGTATGGCTTTTTTAGGAAACCACATGATAAATCTCAGGCAAACTGCAGTGTCTATTAAATTGTGCTTTTCCAGGAGAAGAAGTCATAGCGTATAAACCACCTGGATTTAATCTGATGTATCATCTACTGAATGAATCACCAATGCTGGAACTGTGTCTCAGCCTGCTGGAAGAAGGGGTTAAACAACTAGATACATATGCCCCTTTCCCTGGTAGGTACCTGCGTATTTAAAAAAAAAAATCAAAACATTGACAGTTATTTAAAATATATACGGTACTTCCTACATCAATTGTATATGCTTACTATATGCAGCATTGCTGGAAAGAGAGCTGCTGATGACAAGTTGGAACATTTGAGGATTTCTTTAGTAACAAACTTGATGTGTGTGTGGAATGTACTTTTCCTCTCCAGTGGGGACCTAAAGCGACTTATCACAGCATTCTCCCCCTCCCTCCATTTTATTTTCACAGCATCAGCCCTGTGAGGTAAGTTAGGCTGATGGGCCCGAGGTCACCCAGTGACTTAACTCAGCAGAACAGGGATCTGAATGTGGTTCTCTCAACATTCTGATACTCTAGCCACTGTGCCATGCTGGCTTTATTGAATGAAGACATTTTTTATCTCCCTTTAAGCATTAAAGAGATTGAAGTTAGATCTATTTGTTGACTTTATTTTCTGTCCTTTTATAGGAAAGAAGCACTTAGAGAAATCAGTACAGTACTGCCTTGGGCTGCTTAATCTGACTCTACAGAAAGAGAATGTCTTCATGAACTACTTAAGGGAAAGCCATCTGTCCCTGATTGTTGCATCTCTAGAGCAACTGCTGCAAGGAATCAACCCTCGAACTAAAAAGGCAGACCATGTGGTCAATATTGCCAGGTAGACCCAAAATGTATGAAGGGCAGGAATGGCTATAGAGATGACCAGAATACTATTGAGTGTCAAAAGGGGTGCCACAGCAAGCCTTGGTGACTATATAGATTCTCATTACTTAGCTGGCTGTGTATGAGCACAATAATGTTGCTATATGAACCTGCTTGTAGAACAGGGCCTCATATTTGTTCTCTCTTCACGGATCTCTTTTGAGTATTTCTATGTTTATCTGCGAAGTGAGGAACTTTGAATTAATTGATTTATATTATGCTTAATAGGAAAACAAAGTTCAGTGATCCTGAGCCTGTAAGCAGAGTTTAAGTGGGACTAAAAAGAGGAATGATGAGCTCTGTAGGTTTGAGGGGTGGGACAGTGCTATATTTAGAGTACACTGTGCTGCTAAGGTATGCAAATATTTATGAGCCCATGAATTTCAAATCCTGTTTGCATTTTTTTATCTGCATATACTTATGTATTTTTATGGGACTAATTTGTATGACACACAATTTAAAACTCATTGTTTTCTTCTTTGTTGAAATTTCTGTTCAAACTAACAATTGATTGTATTCTTCCAATTTTTGAAGGTACCTCTATCATGGCACTACCAATCCTGAGCTGGCTTTCGAAAGTTCTAGGATCCTGTGTTGCATTTCTTGCAGTGCTAACATTCAGGTCAAACTAATTGGAGACTTCACACAAGACCAGGTAACTTCTGTAGTCCCTTAATTTCTTAATGTAAGGGGCGGGGAGAATGGTGTTAACTAATACTGAAATCTTTGCAGCGAAAATGCTTGGATTTGTTTATAAAGTGTTTGGCTGTTATGGTGGGTTGAGGTGGCACAAGTGGGCACGAATATGGTGGGGAAAACCCCATTCAATACAGTGCCACTGCCCTGTTGATGGTAGGAATACTTGAGGATTACTGTCCACACCACACTTCCCTGACATGTACACTAAGCCCTGCGTATGGAGAGTCCAGAGAAGTGTTTATGTGTTGTCCTACAAGTACTTGGCCCTCTTTAAAGTTTGCCACCCATGAAGTAAAACAATCATGGTGTCCCTGAGGCACCCTCTCCCCATCTTAGTCAAACCTTGTTATAACCTTGTCCACCCAATATACCAGGAACAGAGATTTAACACAAGAATATTTGTTGTTTTTCACAATCAAATATACACAAATGTAAAGTTATGAAAATACTAATATATGGCGATACAGTTTCCTTACACAATATGTTTCATTGTGGAGGAACTGCCAGAATAGTTTCTGAATGAGGAGACAAGTTTATTTCAGGTATCTTAACGTATTTCAAACTACTTTTGAGTTTTTAAATCTGCAGACCTCAGCCTGTTCCTTACCTTTCCCGTATATCAGAAATACTACGTCTGTGACCTTTAAACCAGTAGGTGCCACTACAGGTCAACACACTAGCTCAGTCTACCTCTACCTGAAGGGGCTGTGAAATAGAACCAAATCCCTGGCATGCCTAAAGGACTTCTCAGCCCTGTTTGGCCAAGTGACAGTTAAACTTCTCTTTTCTTTCCACCCACTCACCCCTTTTCCTCTCCTCCAAGAGTTCCAAGGGCCCTCATTGGCTGTTTATCTCACCCTACCACATCAGTAGGGGGTGGAGCTGTGGCTCAGTAGATCTGATTGACATGCAGATGGTCCCAAGTTCAGTCCCTGACATCTCCAGTTAAAAGGATCAGGTTAGGTAACATGAACGACTCCTACCTGAGACCCAGCAGAGCCACTACCAGCCTGAGTAGACAATACTGAACTTGATGGACCAATGATCTGATTCAGTATAAGGCAGCTTCATGTGTGAATAGGGTAAAAGGGGGACTGTCAGGACAGGTAAAGTGGGACTGGGCTCTGTCCCTCACAGATACGCTTTCACATGTTCTGCTCTAAGTTGAGGGCATAATTTGTTGGAAACACGTTTAAAAGATTAGTTGATCACTAACAAATTGGATGGAGATTTCGCTTGAAAATTCACAGGGATCATCCTGCTTTCAGTCTTGGTCAGTGTTCTAATGAAAGACTTGGAAGATTAAGAGAATGTGTCGTCCTTAGAGTGGCAAGTGATGTGAAACATCATTGGGGATGAGGATTCTCAATTATTTTGATAACCTGAAGAGCAGGGTTTGTCTGTCACTGCAACATGCATAGTTTTCCCCTCTTACGTTTTATCCTTGCAACAACCCTGTGAGGTGTAAATTCGGTAGAGAGAGAGTGACTAGCCCAGAATTCACTCAGATAGCCTCATAGCTGAGTGAGGATTTAAACCTGGCTTTCCCATGTCCTAGTGCAACTCTCTAACTCCATTGGCAAACAGAATAACTCCAGAGTGTTAAAACCAGGAAAGAAGCATGAAATACATTATGTGATACCTGCTGTTTGTCACTGCCATAGCCACTGGTACAAGAGGCAGGCTGGGTGTTACGGCCTTCATCACATAAAAATTATTGCACAGACAGAATTTCCTAGGACAGTGGCAGTCTTTGTGCATGTTAGTTTAAGAAGGGACTGCATCCGTTTGAGGAGGTCAAATTAGATGAACTTCAGGAAGTCCTCACACTTTATTTCTCTTTTTTGCTTAGTTTCCATAAGCAGGCTTATGCTAGTAGGAGTATACAGCACTGCAATATCACAGGCCAATAAGAATTTTTTAATACATCACACAGGCCATTCTTAGCTGAACTGTCTCCATTCTACCAGAAAAGTTCTTAATTGTGGTAGCTTAGTCCAAATGCAGCTTTAACACAAAAATGCCCCCTGGAATATGAGGTGAAATTAGTTTTGGCAAACAAAGGAAAGTTTGTGCTGTGAACTTGTTTTTCTGTGTCGCCCCCCCCCCCCCCCCAGCCAGGATATGCCCTGAAGCCTGACTTTCCCTTGCCTCTGCCATTGCATCATTCAGCAAGGGAAAGGGTGTGGTACAGCAGTGCCTACAGCCACTTTTGGCACCAGGCACCTCCTGTATTGGTTCATGTGTTGATGCTGAAATGGTGCAACTGGCATGAAAGCCAGTCTGGTTTAACTGGGGGGGAAATCCCTTTCCTTCTTTACAAATGCTTTATAATGTTGGGGGGGGGGGCTTTGAGATGGCAAGTCTTTTTTGCTTTAAATCAATCTGTGATCTTTAAATTGCTGTTTTTTCAATCATGTCCCTTGATTATAAATCCAGAGTATTAGCCAGAAATTGATGGCTGGGTTTGTGGAGTGTTTGGACAGTGAAACTGCAGAAGAAATCATTAATCCTGTGGAAGGTATGAAACTAATCAGTATTTATTTCCACTGTAAAAGCTGCCTAACAGCTAAAAAGGTCAGGGTCATTAGGCTTTAACTGCAAAATATAAAGATACTGCATTTATTTTGCATAGATTAGGAAACTGGCCTAAAATTGGATTCAGTGTCCTGTGCCACTTATTTTTTTGTTTTGAGCCAAATTATAAACAGAAAATAAGCAAATAGGAAGTAAAGCTAATTTGTAAATCAGCCTTAAGTCCACAAAGCATTTTAATAGCTGATTCATCCATATATACATTTGATTATAATTCTGGGGTGGGGGGGTAAGCTTGTTGCAGCAAAAATAGGAGTCTCGTGGCACCTTACAAGTTGTTTGGTACATGCCATATAGAGAAAAGAGTCTACAGGGTCAAGGGGACATGAATTGCTGTTATAAAACACACACATTTCATTTTACCCATTACTTCATACATTTCATGACCCCTCAACTATGCAGTTTGTTTTTCATCTCACTAACTAAAATGCCTACATAGTGAGGATATCCTCATTTAAATCTGGCATAAAATTTTGTTAGCCTTTAAGGCACTACAAGATTCCTGCTAAAGGCTTGTTGATGCAATTAAAAATGCAGCTCCTTTCCAGTTTTACAAACATTTTTCTATCATGTTGCCAGGATATGGTTTTTACTCACTACAGAAACTAGGCATTTGGCCACTTCCAAGCGTATTTAATAACCTTTGAGTGGTTTATGAAATGTCCACTAAAATGGATGTATATTTTTGATTCTAAGAACTTGAACCTGAAAGAAAGCGAGTCCAGATCTACCATGAAACAAGGATCAACATCTTGAACCTTCTAATCACTTCTCTGGAGTGCAGCCCACCCAATCTGGCATTGTATCTTCTGGGTTATGAACTCAAGAAGCCTGTCAGCACCACAAACTTGCAAGATGCAGGTACACAATTGAAGGGGGTAGTGGAAATGTGGGGCTGATGGATACCACCTTTGTATACCACTTGAAAAGAATGAAACCATAAGTAGCAGGAAAAATAGATGTCTGCTCTGCTGTGAGTCATGTTGGGTGAAAAGCATTGACATAAATATGGTATAATAAAACAGAAGACCAGACCAGAATGAGCTTTCATGAGTCAGCTCACTAGCTCTGATGTATATAATTAATATGGTATGACAGGCAGTAATATGAAAAGTAATAAATAAACATGGTATTGGAAAGCTGTTTTCAAGGATAGTATACTGAAGGAAATACTTATTTTTGTTTCATATGTTTACTGCCTATTTATCCAAGTCTAAATCTTGCATTTAAAGGTGTTTTAGGTTGCCCTCGTACTTGTCTTCATGCAATATTGAACATACTGGAAAAAGGTTCTAAAACCAGGTCTGGTCCCACAGCAGTTCAAGAATCTCCTCATCTGGCAGAGCTGTGTTATCAGGTATACAAAATATCTCCTCTTCTAAGTTTCCTGGTATAAAGGCAACAAGTATTCAGTTAGTATTTTATTTTTTTTGGTCACTTAAGCTGTCTTTTTCAGAAGAGTTTTGTATTGTGATTTATTCAGCTTTAAGTGAAGCTCAAATACAGAACTTAATTACATATTACTCTGGCTAGTATTTCCCTCTTACCTAGTATTCCTTGTAGTCCTATAAAAGTGAACTGAACCCTAAATTCTCTTGGAATAAACAGATGATTTATCAGTTGTGTGCCTGCTCTGATACTTCGGGACCAACCATGAGATATTTAAGGACCAGCCAGGATTTCTTATTCTCTCAGTTACAGCATTTACCATTTTCTGTTAAAGGTAAGTCTAAAAATACAGTCTCATACATCTAACTTTTAAAATCTGGGTCTCGTTTGTTTGAAAACCAATAAACATCATTTTGGAGGCTTAGAGGGAAGGCATTTAGGATGTGGAATGGCATAGTATAGCTGCCTTTGGAAGCTGAGCAGTGTCAATACTTGGATGGGAGACCACCAAGGCAGACTGCAAACCACCCCTGCTTAATCACTTGTCTTGGAAACCCTATGAGGTTGTCATAATTTAGCTGCAACTGGACAGTACTTTATGTGCACATAGATGGAAGAGAAGATGCTTTGGGGCAGAAGTCTGAACTGTTGAACTGCCATTCTTGCTCTGTTTTCTCTGTTTAGAGCATGAGATTCCAGCCTTGAATCAGATGTCATGGTTAATGAAGACTGCATCTATAGAACTGCGTGTAACATCCCTGAACCGCCAGCGTTCTCACACACACAGACTCCTGCACCTCCTCTTAGATGACATGCCAGTGAAACATTACTTAGGTAAATGGGATTTTTGACTGAGCAGAAATGAAAATCTGTTACTGAGTTGCTTATTTGAATCTCTTTCACTTTCATATCCATTTGTTATTATGCTTTCCTTATATTTGACAGTCTTTCTGATACTATATTGAGCTTGACATTGCCATATTAATGATATGGAATGCAGGCCACTGCTTATGAAATTGAGAAAAATATGCTCTATCCTCTGCTTGCCCATTGTGTCCCAACTAGTGTGGGCATTGGAGCTGAGCCCCTGTTTGTAGTTTGGGTTCAGTGTTCTGAAAGTTAAGAGTTCACTCAGTTCTTGCATGTCACTGAATGAGGCTGTGGTACTGGTAACCAATGTTCCCTCTAAGCTGAGTTAGTGTGAGCTAGCTCACAGTTTTTTAGCCTTTGGCTCACAGATTTTTGTCTTAGCTCAGGAAGGACGACTCCAGAGCAAGCTCCAGAGCAAACTAATTTATGCAGTAGCCAAATCGCTCAAGGCCAGTAGCTCAGAAAGTAGAATTTTTGCTCACAAGACTCCACAGCTTAGAGGGAGCATTGCTGGTAACTTCCCCAGGATAAAACTGGAGATGGCTTATTTGTTTATTGATTTGAATTTTCCAGATACATCTTCTGTAGTCTTCTGGGCACATAGAAAATCACTCCAGAGTCCAGACTAATTACAAATTGGAGTAGGCCCTGGTAGATACTGATGATAAATGTGGCCTTTGGATAGGGAACAAGCCTGACTGCTGCTTCAGGATCATTGGGAAGGGGTCATTGAGGTTAACCATGTTCCGATTATGCGGGGCAGGGCATGATGCCAGTTTGACACGCAAGAGTCTCATCATGTGGCATGTTATATTGCATTAACTTATCAGGACTTCAAACTCAGAGAACTACTGCAAACAAGAGTCCTGCTTTTTAAATGTTTTGTTATACTAATGAAAGTTGATCGATATAGCATTGAGACATCTGTCCTAGCAGGAGTCATTTCGTAGAAAAAGAGGTGCAGGAGCTTATTAGCATGACTCATTTGCATATGCCACACTCCCTGACATCACCAGAAGTGTGTCAGAAGGCAACACCCACCACTCAGGCTCCACTGGACTGTTTTGGATTCCTAGCTATTGGGGGAGGGAATGTGCAGATCTGTCCTTGCAGAGGCGGGAAAGCTTGTACCTGAATAAAACTTGGTCTTAAAGGTGCCACTGGACTGTTTTGGACTGGGGGGGGGGGGCTCTGCAGCTGACCTGGGTGCTTCTTGCTCTGACTGAGGGCTGCTGGGAGCAGGGGGTGGGGCTTGTTATATGTGCCCACCCCCTGGCCTCTTTACTGCCGGAGCTCTGCTCCTGTGCGCCCCTGCAGGAAATGACCCCTGGGTCCTAGTAACTAAAAATAAACACAGCAATTTAATGCTAAAATTAAAAGCTAAATTAAAAGCCACCCATCACTGAGTATTTACAGTACATTCTGACTCTTCCTGACATCTAACATACATGATTATATAATGCGTAATTACTTATTACAACCTGAATAATTTTTCCTGCATTTTTAGGCTGCCTTTGTCTAGACAGCAGTATTTGTCCTAAATTGCTTGAATTTTTTAAAAAGTTTTTTTGTGTTGCACCCTTACATATTTATTTTAATCATTGTCTCAGCTGAAGGTGAAGGAGGAACAGAAGATGAAAGTCGGTCTGTCACTGGCTTTCTTCACTTTGACACTGCTTCTAAAGGTAAGGCTTAGAGGCTGATTTACTCAGATTCTAATCATGATTGGGAAGATTTCCCACAAGAAGAGCCATCGCAACATGGAATGCGGTCCATGTATTGTCTTTGCTACAGTTGATAGCAATCATGAAATGAGACACTTCAGAAGGTGGGGGCTAGTCTTGTGAAATGGTGGCAAAACTCAAGATTTATGTCTCTGTGCCCCAGAATGCTGCTATTTGTCCCTTGTTTATGGTCACTGGACAAAATACAGAAATCAGCATACTCATTTTGAAATTACTGAACTGTTTGCTGTAGTGGTTAAGTGCACGGACGCTAATCTGGGAGAACCGAGTTTGATTCCCCACTCCTCCACTTGTAGCTGCTGGATGACCTTGGGCAAGCTGTAGTTCTGTCAGAGCTGATCTTAAAAGAGCAGTTTCTCTCAGAGCTCTCTCAGCCTCACCTACCTCACAGGGTGTCTGTTGTGGTGAGGGCAAGGGAAAGGAGTTTGTAAGCCGCTCTGAGACTCCAAGTGAAGGGCAGGATATAAATCCAATCTTTTCTTCTTCTCTTCTTCTCTTCTTCTAGGATATCTGTGCCAGTCTTCCAGGCTGCTTTTTATACAATCCAAATAATTTTTATCTGTTCATTATGGATAGCTTCTAGAGAAAAAGTGCTCATATCCGTATGCTCCTGCTACTGTCTGCATGCAATAACGTGCTAAATTGGGATCATACAAGTTCAAGACTTGTCTATAAATAGACAAATAGGTCTGCATTGAACCTTCTAGATTTGAATATTTTGATCACAAATGAAGAAAATTAAAGAGTCTCTGAAATGCCTAATTAAGGAGTGGCAATGTGTTACAAAAGATGATAAACTTTATTTTGTTAAAGGAGAAAGAATGTTATCTAATTTAGTATTTGTTGATTGAATTATATAGTAAGCCTGTTAAAAATACATGGGGAAATGGCCTCTAAAGAATTTTTTTCTGCTCATGAAGTATCAGATACGTTTGAAGATTCTGTTTTAAATGTGATTATGGCTGCTAGTCTACTTTTTGCTAGGTTTTGGGAAAAAGCTGCAGCAGCAGAAGGAAAGGAGCAGATAAAAAGAGAACAAATGAAACCTTTGGAGATTCATTAATGTGTAGAAAACAGAATTGAATGAATTTGTAAGATTTTTCCCCTGTTGTATATTATGAACATTTAAAAAGAAGAAAATTACTGTGAACAAAGTTCAGAGTAATTTTAAATAGAAGCTGTTACTCACAAAGCCTGTTTAATTTCAGAGTTCAGCTGAATTCTGATCTCCCTGACTTCTGGTATTTCTGAATAGACTTCTTCTCTTTAGTACGCAGGAAGATCTTGAGCATCCTGGACTCAATTGACTTTAGTCAGGAGATCCCAGAACCTTTGCAACTGGATTTTTTTGACCGGGCTCAAATTGAGCAAGTCATTGCCAATTGTGAGAACAAGAGTGCACGTGGGCCAGTCATCTGCAACGTCAAGGTCAGGAGCCTTGCCATATGTAGAGATGTATTTTTCATAATGATCCAGCTGAAGTTAAGTCCCATTTCTTTTAATAGAAGTTAAACATTAACCCTCACCTTGAAGTCAGTAAGGCTTAAAAGTGCTTACATGTCATTGGGTTGTGTTCTTCATGTTTACTTGGTAATTCTAAGGATGCATAAGTAGCTCCTTATAATATCTGTATTTTCAGTCAAGTGTTCAACTGCTTACAAATTATTTGTGTTGTATTTACTTGTTGGTGAGATAAGGTCTACTTCAGGTCATACCTCTTGTGCTAGATTCTATATATAATGTAGGTGAATACTATTGTTCCTTCAACTTCAGGGTCTGAAAGGGGGAAAATAAACTAATGTTAAACTGTATAGTAGGAATGGGCACAAACCGGCTCACGAACCAAAATTCAGCACGAACTTGGCCCAATTCAGGGTAGGAACATTCCCTGAACATTTCCCTGACTTTTGTCCAGTTTGGTTCAACTGTTCTGTTCAGGCCAGTTAAACCTAACAGATGAGCAGCATGAGTCTGCAGCTCACCTGTTGGGTTTAAATGACCGACAGCCATTTCTGCGCTCCCAGTTTGCTTCCTCCCACTGCCCCGCCATTTCAGTGCTCTGTTTTGCCTTCTCCCACTTTGAAGTGGGGGGAAGGGAAATGGAGCTCTGAAAAGGCTGCCAGCCTTCCTGGGTGATCACCCCCTTTCTCCGATCCATGGCTCGCAATGGCCAGGAAAAAGCGGGGTCTGAACTAGGGTTTTTGGGTTCATGGCCATCCCTACTGTACAGTGTGAAGATTTCTACTGGTTTATTTAATAGAAGCTTTTTGGGTTGAACTAGGATGCAAATGAAATTATGAAAGTGCTTTGGAAATGGGTAATATGTCATGGCGGCCACATGACCGTGGAAATGTCTCTGGACAGCACTGGCTCTTCGGCTTGGAAATGGAGATGAGCACCGCATCCCTAGAGTCGGATTTGACTGGCTTTCGACCAAGGGAAACCTTTACCTTTACTTAATATGAAATTGAAAAGGCTTCAGAAAAGGGAAAGTTACAGACAGTCTAACAAGGCTATCCATCTTTAAGAAAAAATGTCAACATAGTAATTCTGTTATGCCCACAAGTGCCTCCAACCTTAAGAAAATTTACAGATACCGAAAAGCATGACAAGGGTTTTTCGTTTCCTCTCTTTAATTCTAGCATGTTCACAAAGTTCTGATTGCTGAAGTTAATGCCTTGCAAGGAATGGCAGCCCTTGGACAGAGACCTTTGCTCATGGAGGTAATTCCACATAATAAAACTCGATCTTGAAAACAGATGCATGGCTGAACTGACTTTTTCCTCCCTTGTAACACTCCTGAGATCTTTGTGGATGTTCATTTGTATATCCCTTTTCAATTTGTACATGCTTGAAATATCTGGCAAAGGGAAAGCTCATTCCCCAAAATCTTGCTGGTAGCTGACGTGCTGCTGGACTCAATTCTAGCCATTCTACTGCAGACCAGCACAGCTGCCCTCATCTTTGAAATGTTTATGTATTTAAAACATTTTAATACTACATTTGTTACCCTATCAGGTTCCACAAGGCAACAAGCATAAGACCATTAAAGGATTTAAACAATTGAATTACAGTTAAAAATATAAATTGCAATTAAAGACATAAGCTTGCTATGCTGAGAGTTACTGGCTTGTTTAAGACTACCTAAAGGAATCTTGAGGCTTTAATTTTATGGATCTCTTGGATGAAACTGTCTGTGCTATACAGTCCTGGCTTTTTGATAAGGTCTGTTCTCAGGAACGACTTTGAAAATTCTAAGATTGCAATCTGGAGATCTGGAGGTGTGCAAAGGTGCACAGTTTCTTTGGATTTCATGAAACCTACAGAAATTCTTTGGTAGTTAGCACAATAAGTTGAAAGGGAACTTCTGTGGGAAAATAATACACGTGCCTCCGAGGATGACAGCTTTCGTTTTAAGCAGTTTCCTGAGAGAATCCTCAAGAAACCTCTGAATCTTGAGTATGTTTGAAAGGTTCCACAGACACCTGAGGGTAGAGAACAGCTCTGTAAACTAAATTTTAGACGTTCACAATTCCCTGCTCAGTTGTAGGCTAAGAATATAGGAACAAAATAACTTCAGTAGCTATTTTTTGATTTATGCTTTGTGACAAATGCAGCCGTTTACCCAGAATTTTTCTGTTGTGAACTAATGAATGTTCCTTTTATTGTATTACCAGGAAATCAACACAATTCTTCAATATGTTGTGGAACGGAATAAGCTTCTTCAGTGTCTCTATGCGAAGCGACATGCTCTGGAGTCTTGGAGGCAGCTGGTGGAAATCATATTGACTGCCTGCCCACAGGACCTTATTCAGCCTGAAGAAAGGCAGCTCATTATTCGTGACCTCTTACAAGATGTGCATGACAAAGTAAGCCCCTTGAAATACATTAGTGTTTTTCACTGAATATACAGGAAGCTTCCATTTGTATGTGGGATTGTTTTTAGTGACTACTTTTTGTGGTTTTTTAATAATCAAATTATGCAATATTTATTGGTCTGCATTAAGTTACTGTTTAACAGTAAAAACCACCTACAATAATCTCCCTGCAGTGAGACTTTTAGAATTTTGGTGCCACAACTGGGAAGGCCCTCTCCTGGGTTGCTCCCCACCTAATCTGGGGGGGGGGCACATGAAGTAGGGCCTCTGAAGATGGCCATAGTGTTCAGGTTCATAAGGGTATAGGTGGTCCCTCAAGTAGATTGGTCACAAACCATATAGGGCTTTGAAGGTCCTTCAGATATGTTGGTTCCAAACCAGACAGGGTTTTGAATGTCAACACCAGCACTTTGAATTGTGTCCAGAAACAAATTGGCAGCCAGTGTAGATGGACCAAGACTGGAGTGATATGGTCCCTACAACCCACACAACCAACATCCTGGCTGCAGCACTCTGTGACAGATGAAATTTCTAAACACTTTTCAAGGGCAGACCCACATAAACCACATCTCAGTAATCTAATCTAGATGTTATCAGGGCAAGTGGCCAGATCGTTTCTGCCTAGGAGAGGCTATATCTGACTAACTAGTTGAAGTTGGTAAAAGGCAGTCCTGGCCAGAGCTGCCACCTGCTTATCCAGCAGTAGGACTGAGTCCAAGAGTAGCTCCAGACTATGGACCTGTTCCTTCAAAGGGAGTGCAAGCGCATCTGGAACAGCTGACACTTTAAATCCCAGGTCAGACCTTCCGCCCACTCGTAGCACTTCGTCATGTCAAGATTAAGCTTCAGTTTATTAGCCGACATTCACTCCAAAACTGCCTCCAGACGTACTGCCAGAGTTTCCACAGCCTTCCCACGATCAGCTGGAAACGCATGACAGAGCTGAGTGTCATCAGCATATTGGTAACAACCCAGCCCAGATTTCCAGAAGACCTTACCCAGTGGTTTCATGTAGATGTTAAAGAGCATAGGGCACTTACAGGAGGTCACATTAGAGAGTTATAGAAATTGCCTGGGTATGTATGCCTATCATGTCCTAAAACAGTGACTCTTCTTTTCCTGTAAGATCCTGGATGATGACGCTGCTCAGGAATTAATGCCTGTTGTGGCAGGAGCTGTGTTCACTTTGACTGCCCACCTAAGTCAGTCTGTGCGAACAGAGCAAAAGCAACTGCTGGCTGAACCTATACCTGGACACTCTCAGTTTGTCTTGATGCTGGACGGTTCTTTCACATCACCACTTGGCTCTGAAGGCATGGCTGTGGGATTCGCTTCCATTGGAGATTCTTCTCTCCATATCATCTTGAAAAAAATTCTGGATTTTATACTGAAAACAGGTAATGAACCAACTTTATCCTTTTGGGGAAAAGATGCTACAAAAACCAATATGTGGGTATGCTTCCTTAATAATGGTCATGCCACTATGTAGTATGAAGCTGATGGGCAGTAGGTTGAGGACAGACAAAAGGAAATACTTCTTTACACAGAGAGTGATTAAAATGTGGAATTTGCTGCCAGAGGATGTAGTGATGGCTGCAGGAATAAATAGATTTAAAGGGGGGTTAGATAGATATCCACCATGAATCTATCAGTGGCTACTAGCCATGGTGACTTAGGGGAACCTCTACATTTGGAGGCATTAAACTTCTGAATCCCAGAGCCAGGAGGCAACATCAGGGAAAGGGAGGGGCTGTGGCTCAGTAGCAGAACATCTGGTTGGCACGCAGAAGGTCCCAGGTTCAGTCCCTGTTACCTCCACTTAAAAGATCTGGCAGTAGGTGATGGGAACTACCTCTGCCTGAGACCTTGGAGAACCACAATACTGACTTTGATGGACCAAGGATCTGGTGCTGTATAAGGTAGTTTCATGTGAATGTCTCAGCCCTATTGTTGGCTGTCCAGAGGAACTGGTTGGCCATGTGTGAGACAGGATGCTGGACTAAATGAACCATTTGATTCAGCAGGGCTCTTCTTATGTTCTTATAGTAAGCAAAGTATAATGCTGAAAGAAACCAAGTATATGTGATCTGTACTGCCAGAAATGGGAATTAGTGGCTATATCTTACTCAAAATATTTTTGCTCAGTTAAAATATTTTTTAATAACAGTGACAAAGTTCAGTGATGTTAGGTTAACTCTACATAAACAAGTTACAAAAGCTAGCATCCTGGAGATAAACTGAGGAAGGTGGTGAGGGGCATGATTGAAGAAAGATGCGGGGCCGGCCTACTTACGTCTCATTAGAAATACTTATGTCTCATCTGATCAGGTGGTGGGTTCCAGCGGGTGAGAACACATCTGTATGGATCACTGCTCTACTATTTACAGATTGCTCAGAGACCAGATGAACCAGACACTTTGGAAGCAGGTAGAATGTAACTTGATGCTCTCTTTTTCCATAGTTAAGTAAAGATATAACTGTCATGTGTGACCCCAGAGTATTAATGGTGTTTTGATGGTCGTTCTTAGCTTCAGCACTTTATTTCATCCTCATATGACTACAGTTCACAGCCCTTCACAATTGCCCATTCTGCATCAGCAATAATATTCCTGTACCCACACATCCCTTTTTGCTCTTTCCTGTTTCAGTCTCCAGGCTTGTGCAAGCCTCTTCTTCTCCATAATCTTTTATACATGGGTAGCTGCTGGCCTGTGGTTTCCCTTCCCTAATCCAGCCTTTGATTTCATTCATGTTCATACAGATTGTAAAGACCAAAAAGTATGAATAAAGTTGTTGCCTTTTTTTCCATTGTGGGCATGTTCCCTCTGAAGCTGTCTTGTGTAAGGATGGGTCCAGACTGAATCACAAAGCAAAATTCATCACGCATATTGCCCCATCTGTGGTTTGTGAACTGAAGTTCATGATGGGTCTACCATCACAAACTTCCACAAAGTTTTAAAGCTGTTTGTGGGTATTCATGGTGGTTCGTGGATGGAGCAGAAAGCAGGGGTTTAAAGGAACTCTGAGTCCCTTTAAAACTCTTGCTTCCCCCCCCCAGCTGCAAAAACAGCTGAGCTGTGGGGAGCTTTAAACTTTAAAGGGACTGCAGAAGACAGCCTGAAACAGCTGAGCAGTGGGGAGCAGCCCAGCTGTTTCTTGGGCTTTCTGCAAGCTCCGTTTAAAGGAACTACAGTCCCTTTCAGCGGGGCTTGCAGGGTCACAGACCAGTTCACGAACAAACTTCCTGGTTTGGCTCATGGTTTGACCACGAACCAAACCACATTTTCCTAGTTCATGCCTACCCCTAATCTTGTGCCCTTTTTTTGAGAATATTTTCAGAAATACTTTTTCCTTCTTTTTAACAGCTTTCTGATCATAGTTGGTTCTCGTATAAAAATCTTTGGCAAGAGATACATGTACACATGTGATTCTAGCTAAAACATTTCCCTTTATTGGAGGATTTTTAATGCAAAAACATCCATTTGCAGTGTTTGGATCTGTGCATCTTAAAAGATATATTAACGCTATAACTGACGTTGTTTAGTAGCTCTGGTCTCTCTTAATTTTTTGTCTTTTATTTATAGCCAAGAAGACTATGTGGGAGCGTCTAACAGCACCTGAAGATGCTTTCAGTAAATTGCAGCGAGAAAATATGGCAATTATTGAAAGCTATGGTTCTGCCCTCATGGAGGTTGTTTGCCGAGATGCCTGTGACGGCCATGAGATAGGGCGGGTAAATGGCTTTGCTCCTTTTACATTTTAATAGGTTATCTGATAACCTGGTTTTTTTATGTTACTATTTGAAAGATTTATAGCATTTATTAAAAGAAGGAATCTCTTGTCAATTCATTTTTGGTTTTTGGTGTTTTTTTTAAAGGAGACTCTGCAAATCTTATACCTTACCTAATTGCTTCAGGGAGTTATGTATACAAAGCAAGGTGTGGTGAATATTTGGCATACAAGTCTGACCAAGGGAGTAATGAATTGGGTTTTCATACACACATGGCATGTTACTGTTTATACCATTCATTTCTTGCTTTGAGAAAAATGAATTTGCCTTATCAAATGTGCAAGTGGGTTTTTTGTCTTCCATTTATTTATTTAGTCTGACCCTCCCTGGTGGTTGTACAACTGTAAAAATTATAAGCAATATTATTGAAAAAATAGTGTAGGATGAGTGTTGAAGTTGCTGTATCACTCTGTCCTTTACTTTTTAAGTAGTCCATAAAATGCCAGTGTATCTTTCCATTTGGTGAAGGAAAACAGTAATGTTGAATGGCATGGAGGGCCAGCCTAGATTACATATTGGGGGAAAGGCCATAGTTCAGTGGTAGAGCATCTGCTTTGGCAAGCTGAAGGTCCCAGGTTCAGTCCCTAGCATCTCCAGCTAAAAAGGTCAGGTAGTAGGTGATGTAAAAGAAACTGTCTGAGATCCTGGAGAGCTGCTACCAGTCAGAGTAGACAGTACTGACTTCAGTGGACCAGCGATCTGACAGAACATAAGGCATCTTCAGTATGAAAAACATGTGGTGGCCACCAAAAACAGCACCGACATTTCTGGTTCCCCCTTTCTTATGGTATAGTATGCCTGCTGATGTCATAAATTACATTACCAGCAGCAGGCAGTGAGATGGGAAATGCATGTTATGACGATGTCACGGGATAGCTAAGGTTGCTTATGGCCAGGTGAGGCTTGGAGATCTCCCAGAATTACAACTTATCCCCAGACTACAGAGATATAGCTGTTTGTGAGGGTAGACTCTAGGACATTACACCCCACCGAGGGACCCTCACCAAACCCTGCCCTTCCTGGCTCCACCCCCAAATCTCCAGGAATTTCCCAGACTTGAGTTGGCTAGGGAGATAAGCTTTATTAACAAGTTGTGAATATAGAGGAGGGGTTGGGACCTAGATAAAGTTCATCATTCTGCCTAGTTAGTTTTTTAGTTTAAAATGTACCCAGTGGTTTTTGGTTTTGGCCGGCTGTGAGATTTTTTTCTAAAAATTGGTGAGTTTTTTAGTTTTAAAAGGGATAATCAATGGATGCAGCGCAACCACCAGCACCACTCCCCTTTAAAAAGCCTTTGCCTTAATGAAGAGTTTCTAAATCAGGCAGATTAATGAGGTAGATGCATTCATTGATGTATGAGGTTGAGGAGCATTTACTGAAACAAATTATTGTACTATAAAATGTCATTAATCAGTCATCAGACTTAGCTGGCTTTTCATTTTGCCTTCCGAGATTTTTCTTGGAAATTAACACACTAGCAGCCTGGCAAAAGCGAAAGTGGGAAACTATTTTTCTGAAACCCCCCTTAATATTGGTACTTACTTTGCAGATACAAAACACTCTTAAAGTTTGACTAGTCAGCACTTCCTTAGCAAGTGTGGTGGGTCACCTAGGGAAGAAATCTTCAGTAAATAGGCTGACGAAGTAGTAGGCTGAATGAAGTCAGAGTTTGTGTCTATGAATTGATTCCTTCTAGGTAGAGATTAGATAGTCTTTGCACCCTTGTTAATTAATTGCATTGGTCCTTCTCTCTTTCAGATGCTTGCTCTGGCCTTACTTGATCGCATTGTCTCTGTGGATAAGCAGCAACAGTGGCTGGTGTATCTCTCCAACAGTGGCTACCTGAAAGTGCTTGTGGACAGCCTAGCAGATGATGACCTTAAGCTACAAAGCTTGCTTACACCCCAGCCTCCTCTCCTGAAAGCACTGTACACCTATGAGTCAAAAATGGTAAAGTCGAAGGGTGGTTCATGGTTGCTTGTAAAATACTGTCTGACTTATTCTTTGCACCAGGATTATTGAAGAGAACCAGTGGTGATTGGGGTTTTTGTCAAGTGCTAACAAAATGGCTTGCATGAATCCTAGCAGCTATTTGACCCTATTCTAACTAGGTGGTGTTGTAAAGATCATGAGCTTTCTGCCCTTTTCCTAAGTCCATCTATGCTAGTTTGAGCAGTAGCTCACATACTCTCAAAGTATGCATGATGCAGAACACAAATTTGTGTCTTTTAATTTCAGATGTGTTTTAATGTAACAGCTCACCAAAAAGAGTTTGTAAAAAGTTGGTTCTTGCTGTATGATCTGTTTGGCTCATTTTACCTTTTGTAACGTACTCCAGGCATTCCTAACGAAAGTGGCCAAAATACAGCAGGGAGCACTGGAGTTGCTAAGATCTGGTGTGATTGTGAGGCTTGCACAGTGTCGAGTGTATGATATGCGACCCGAAACAGATCAGCAGGGGTAAGTTTTTTCCACAGAATTGGCCTTAAAGTGATCTCCAAAGCTGTAAGTCAATAAATATGGAAAATATTTATTAAACTCTTGTGGCATTAATCTGCACTGAAGGCAGAAATAATCAACACTAAAATAAGTGGTTAAAGATTGTCAGTGTCTTGTGTGTGTGCTTCTTGCAACAGGGCTCTGCAGAGCTCCCAGAAGCATTTAAAGGTAAATCTTAATGTGTGGAATTTTGATTTGTTTTCTAATCAGCATAATGTTCTTAATACAATATTTGCTCTGCTTCCCCCCCCCCCCCATACTAAGCTAAACAGTTGAGGACTGAGTCTCCATTTGAAGCTCAGTGTTGTTCTGGTTGGAGCCTTGAGCCAAGGTCACTGAGAGCCCTGCATAAGCCACTCTGATGTTTCAAGGAATAGTGGAGTGGATTTAGAGCTCAGTGTCTTGCATACTTAAGTTCTGAGGTTTAGTCCTCAGCATCTCTAGTGAAAAGATAGCAGGATTTGGGAAGATTGCTTACTCAGGTGAACTGCTACCACTTAGAGGGATAGCTGAATCAGTTGCTTGACTTAGTTTAAAACTACTTCCTGCATTTATATTGAGTTATTGGGCTTTCCTCCAACAGCATGGAATAATTTAATTTACCAGGAAACCCTAAAGCAGACCAGGATAAATGTGTTTAAACTTGATTGGGCTAGTACTTTAGCACGAGCAAGACATGTATGTTCCACTCTCGCCTTAGGTATTCCTCCCCTGGAGTCTCTTCCCTCATATACTAGATCCTTAAAAATACCTAGTTATAGATGTGTTTTCACTCTCTCTAGACTTAACTCTTTTCCCACTGCAAAGTATAATTTCTTTGCTATCTCCTCTTTCAATAAACAATTCATCCGATGTTGTAACATTTTTAGTCTTCTTTTTGCTCCATCATTATTTACTTTAGACATCATAATATTCTCTTGTAAATTTATTTGTTTTTTCAGGTTCTCAAACCTTTGTTTCCTTTGCCTATTTACTTTTGCTGCTTCTTGAATTAATAATCCTCTAGAAAATGCTTTCATTGCATCCCATATCACCTTTAATGATGTATCTTGTTTTTTATTTTCTTTGAAAAAGGCTGTTAATTCTTCCTTCATTTTATTTTGTTGTTGTTGTTGTTCAGTCGCACAGTCGAGTCCGAGTCTTCATGACCCCATGGATAAGATCTCACCAGGCCCTCCTGTTTTCCGCCGTCCTCTGAAGTTTGCTCAATTTCATGTTCGTTGCATCTATGACACTGTCTAACCATCTCATCCTTTGCCGTCCCCGTCTTCTTTGACCTTCAATCTTTCCCAGCATCAGGGTCTTCTCCAGTGAGTGCTCCCTTCTCATTTGGTGGCCAAAGTATTTGAGCTTCAGTTTCATTATCTGGCCTTCCAGGAAACAGTCAGGGTTGATTTCTTTTAGGATTGACTGATTTGATCTTCTTGCAGTCCAAGGGACTCTCAAGAGTCTTCTCCAGCACCATAGTTCAAAAGAATCTATTCTTCGGCGCTCGGCCTTCCTTATAGTCCAACTCTCGCAGCCATACATGACTACTGGGAATACCATTGCTTGGACCATGCGTATTTTTGTTGGCAGGGTGATGTCTCTACTTTTTATCATGCTGTTTAGGTTCACCATCGCTTCATATGTTCCTGCCTGTATTTCTGCCTCCAACATATCCTTAACCATTACTGTTGAAATCCATATCATATCTATTCGTGACCATGAATCATGTCTGGCCGAATAATATGTAAATTGTTTCATAGAATAATTCCTTATTCTCCAAGCATCTACCAAATTTAATTCTGTCAGTAATTGTTCTAGATTTTTTGGCATTTCTGTCCTTCTTTTCTTCTTCTTCCTGCCTGTCTGTTTATCCTTTTCCTAATCAAAATTTGTATTAAAATTAAAAGATAAATAACTTAGCATAACCGACTATGTTCAATGTATTACTAGCATTTTAGATTAACATTGAGATAAGATGATGTATTGATCTCCCACTCTTGGGGTTTTAGTTATTAGTGGGTTTCTTTTCTTTCTCCTTAGATGTAGTTTCCCTTCCCATATTTTCAGTTATAGTTTGTAGTTTTGTGAAAAAAACAATAAAAAACCTCCCCTTAGGGGGATTTTAAAAATACAGTAAAATGTATTCATCTTTCCATTTCTTTTCTGACATTTATAAGTGTTTTACAGATTTAATTATTCCCCAACCAAGGATTAAAACAGCATATCAATTAATTTGTCAGGATAGCACTAAATTATCTTTGCAATTTGGGAGAAAAAAAATGTTATTGTCAGAGAAGGATAGGAAGAGGCAGCTTACCTGTAAGTAGTGTTCTCTGAGCAGTCACATAGTGAGAATACTCGAGAATACTTTGAGAGGTCACATAGTGAGAATACCCATTTCCAAGTATTGCTAAGCTTAATTTTTTTTCTGATACTGAGGTGATGTACTAATGGCCCAAGTGGACAGAGACATGCACTCCTGCTCAGTCAGTTCTTCCAAACCTACCATAGCCAGAGAAAAGATACCTGTTGCACTGAAGGCATTTTGTGTGACTACACAGATGAACAGTTGAAGAACACCAGTTACAAATAAGCAACCTGATGTTCACCTTCACAGTTTTTGTGCATCACAGACATGGGCAGAATCACAAGCTGGCCTACTTCAAGGCAGGAAGAGGTGAAATCAGGAAAAAAAACGCACTGAGCACCATTTGATGAAAAGATGTCTCTCCTCTTGCTCTGGTGTTGAGAAAGCAATGTTTTAAAGATGTGGATGGTTGCAACCATGTGGCAGCTTTGCAAAGGTCCAAAGTAGGTACACCAGTGAAAAAAGCTGTAGAAGTGGTTATGATCTTTATAAAGTGGGCTTTAATCATAGATGGCATACTGACATGTCACACTTTATAACACAATTTAAACAATGAGAATATCCATTTGCTGAAACATTAAGAATTTACTTACCATGCTTTTTGTAAACCACTGTAATGGACAGATAATTTACACTATTTATAAAAAAAATTCTTCCTGTCCCCAAACAAGGCAAGAGGTCTTCTGAGGATGGGTTAGGGAAAAATGGGTAAAACAATGTCCAGAGAAAAGTGAAAAGTAGATACGATCTTGAACACAAAGATACCATTGTGATGAAGAATAAGTTTGTCCCTATGAAAAACAAGATGCAGCTAGTCAGTCCTGTGAGTACACAGTTAACTAGTCCTCTGGGCAGAAGTTATAGGGGCAAGGAAGGCAACCTTCAATGAGAGAAGCCTGATATTACATGTTGCTAGAGATTTGTGATGACACAACCAACTGGAGGTTCTGAGCTGAAACATGAAAGTAATGGCAGAAAATATTAAGTTGTACCTCAGTTTTAAAACCATCAATAGTCAATTATGGACATAGCAAGCACTTTTAGTCTTTATTAAATTTCCAGGTCAGCTCTACCATTTCACCCCACTAATTATAATGGGCCTCCTCCCCCCCTCCTGATGGAGGGAAAAAAATGAGATTGCAGAAAGTGTGAGGACTTGCTAGCTCTTTATACATCCACAAATCTTATATCAGTTTATCTCCCAAAACGCCATCACTTCTCTTTAAAATCTCTCTTTAAATTTCTCTTGCGCATCTCTTAGCAGTTTGGTGGTATATTTCCCCAGCCATTCTGTTCCCCTCTACTTTGCCAAAACACAGCTCAAGTTGGAAATTTCTCCCGTCTGTTCTGGCCAGTTAAGTAGAATTAGGGAGATTTCCCAGTCTATTGGGGATTTCAAATACGACAGTCTTTACTTTGAGAACACAGAGCAGTTTCTTTCACTCACGTTTCTGTGCTCAATTTAAAATCCGCTTGTCAGCCTCTTGAATCACGGCAGCAACAGCTCTGCCCACCACAGTGAACTTCTTCCTCCGGATTGCTTCAGAGCGAGCTGATTAGGTCTCCCAGTGAGTTGCCATCTCACTGGGACCTCAGCTCAAGCCCCCTGCCCCCCACTACTCCTTCCCTGGAGCGTGGGGTGGTCTCTGATTGTTCAGAGACCCTTTAAGTCCGAAGAAATGATCAGTCGCTCGGAGCTCAGCTCTCTAGCGACTGCAGGCGCTGTGCCCTCCCGTCCGTCGTTTCGGTATTATTCTTGACTGTAAATTTTCATTGTAAAATTGAATGCTGTATATTCATGTTTGATAACTGAGCTTATCTCATAGAAACTAATAAACGTAAGTATATTCATTTAATAAGTTGTTTCCATGCTTCATTAAAGCTGCCAATCAACTCTTCCCTTTTTGATGTGTTTCCCTGCCTCCCTCAGAATATTTGGAATGAGAGAATCTCCAGTCTTCTATCCTGCCCCTGTAGAGCGTTATCGCCAGATTCTTCTGCCGGCTCTGCAGCTGTGCCAGGTGATTCTCACATCTAGTGTGACACAGCACATGCAAGCTGCAGGACAGGTAAGTCAGTAGGCAGGAACTTCCACTGATGTTGGCTGTGTACTATTGTTGCTGCTTTCCATGTCAGGCTGCTGGGTTGTTCTTTCTGTCTCTCATTATTTCCTGCTTTCTACTCTGATACGCTACTGTAAAATCTTAGTTGAATTTTAAACGTAATGCTGTATGTTCTGCTTTTTCCTGTCACACAGGTGTTACAGTTTCTGATATCCCATTCAGACACAATCCAGGCAATTTTGCGGTGTCAGGAAGTTAGTGCAGGATCCTTTCAAGAACTGGCCTTATTGACTGGAATAATCAGCAAAGCTGCTCTGCCTGGTAAGATATTTGACAGCTTCTGTAATGATTCCATGTTTTGGTGTGTGTGTTCCTTTAAATGTTTAGTGTGACTGCAGTACTGTAAGAAGAGTGATAGAGGGAGACAAGTGTGATTTGATTGGCTGATGACTGAGAGTGTGGGAGGAGGAGATGTTCTGAGAGGAATCTGTGTGTGTGTTTTATGACAGAGTTCGATGTATGGGTTTTTGGAAAGTGAAGTGTGGAAGAGCTATGAAGAGAGTCTGTGTGACTAAAAGTTTTGTGAGAGGGTCTATATGGCAAAGAATCAAGTAGTGTCTAAACTGAGTGGTTAGACAAATGTTTTATCTCGTGTGCCTAAGACAAAGAGCTTAGCCAGTGTGGCTACATAAATGAGAGAGATAAGCCTGTCAGCGTGGAATTTTGGTGTCTGAGAGACTGTGTGTGACACCTTACCAGTTATATTTACAAGTTCCTTTTTTCAGAAACAATTCAAGATAACCAGAAACCTATTTTGTTCTTTATTCAATAAATCAATTTTTGTTTAAACATATCCTAGAAATCAGTACAGTCCTTCCTCAGGGCCACATAGTCCTCTGAAGTGCCCAGACCCTGGGTCATACTACCAAAAGAGAGAGAATTGGAATTTTTAATTCCTGGTGGCAGCAGAAAACTACCAAGTTCATATACACAGAGGGTGGTTTAAAGGAAAAACAGTCTCCCCCTATAAGCAAGCATGCCACAGCTTCTCTTGTTCTGGTCATAAGTGTGCCGTTATGTACATAACAGTAAGATTTATTTTACTGGACCATAAAAGCATATGAAACTTTCACCAACCACAGAACTCAGCACGCAGAGGCCATAAAACCTCCTTGTAGGACACAAGATTGTATAATCCTGTGTAGTAACCTATTCTTGAAGCTCAGACTTGTCCCTCAGTTTAAGATCTTTATTCTGGAAAGAGGAGTCTTCTGCAGTGTTGTGAAATTCTCTCTTTAGGCAAGTTCTCCTAGCCCTACTAGCCTACATTAAGATCTTTTAGGTGCTAAGCAATATCAGTCCCATTTACTTAATTATGCAGCTGTTGCTTTGAATATGTTTACTGCTGCATTTTTGTATCTGCATTTAGCTGATTGTGTATTAACTTTTTATGAAGGAGATATTGAAATTGCTGAGGCACTTCCCAAAAAAATAGACTGCTGAAATATGGTACATTACTAGGAATGGACAAATCGGCTCTTTTTTTGTTTCTTTATGTTTTGACTGTTGCTCTTGTGAATGGTTTTGGCCCACTCATTTTAGTTGCTGGTATTGAAGATTTGTTTGTTCCTTTTTCATGATGATGCACAAATCTGTGCCCTGTGTGACCCTGGGGGCCCAATAGAGGACACACAGGCAGAATCCAATGAGTTTGATTAACTTATTGTTTATTATTGCAGTGATAGGATATATAGAACGTAGTGCCAAAGCACCTGTATGCCAAGCTGCTGTCTGCCTTATGGCAGAGTGGGCAGATACTTTTATATCCTAAATGACATCACACAAGTTTACAATCCATAGAGATCATTATTGGTTAATGGATACATTGGCATCATAAGTGGGTTTTTTTTCTTTTACTTGCCCAAATGCGCAAAGTTTATTGGGTTTTTTTAAGGATTACACAAAACCAAAAAAAAGAGCAATACATTTTTAAAATATCTAGACATTGTCTCACTCACAACATCTTTAGATACATAGTTCCCTTTTCCCCCTTGTTTAACTTTATATTCCACAACAAATATTATTAATCAAAATTCTATTCCCAATATATAGTTCATTTTTCTATATCCTATCTGCTATATTTAATTTTATCTATACTACACTATTATTAATCGGTTTTATAATCATAAAAATAGGAAGGGAAAGAAACAGGTATTTCAACAGTTTAACAGTTCTAATTTGGGCACATTTTTTTGTATAACAGTTTGGTCCCTTTAAGATATTCCTTCACCTTTTTAGCAATATTAGCTTTCAAAATCCCATATACTTACAAATTTAAGCATGGTATTTTATATTTGTCTTAGCTTTACAGTGCCAATATGTTTTCACCTTACTCTCTAGGTAATCTAATATTATTTTTTCTCTGCAAAGCCCACTCTAAAAATCAAACTGCCCTATAGTTTTTCTCAACCTTCAGTTAGAGCATTACAAATATCCCAAACCTGTTGTTTCACTAATCAATTGGAACAAGATTATATGCTTAGTCAATCATTTTTCAAATGTCAGTATAGGTTCAAAGAAAAAATAAGTAGTATATAGACAAGTATTTCTTAGCAGTTAGAGTTCCATTTCGGATAAATCTTTCTCTCATTGACCAGTTAAGCCATGCAAACAGTCAAGATATATTATGTATAAGTTCAGAAGAAAAAGGAGAGGAAAAAATAGTATATAAACCAGTATTTCTTAGACATTAGAGTTCCACTTTATCTCCTTGATCAATTAAAACATGCAAACAGTCAAGATATATTGTTACAAATACTTATAAAATATAAGTTTCTTTTGTTTTCTCTGCAAATGTCTCCCCAAAATCATTAGTATTATATGCCTTCAATCTTTGAAGGTCTCATCCTCTTTAGTCTTGCTTATGAAATAGCACATGAAGTCCTGTCTCACCAACTCGGCCAGGGCTGCCTTGTATCCAGCCAATGTCAAAGTCACTGAGGAATCTTCAAAATTACAGCTGAATAAATCTCTTGTTCTGAGTGTGAAGTGTTGAAACAGTTCCGGCCGCTCCTCGCTTTGTAAAATATATGATGTCATCTGTGCTTGGTCATCTTGCACTTCAAGAAACATGATCTCGCTTTCAAAGACTTGTTCCAGGGCCTGGCAGACAGAGTTCGTGATCTTTATCTCTAATTGTAACTTAAAGAGATCCCAATATTCCTCCCAGTCATCATCTGACAGCTGTAATATGTTTCCAAAGGCATTTTCCTTTTCCATCGCATTTGAAAAGGCCATTGCGCTCCTGAACAGGCAGCCTTCACAAATCTGTGAACTACACAGGTAGAAAAGTCATGGTCGCCATTTTACATCCACAAGGCTGTCCTCCTTTCGATAAATCAAATCAGCCACTTAAGATAAGTCTCTGTAGAAGACTTTTCCCAGCTAGCAGATAGAAGATTTCAGTGCAAAGTATAGCCCCTCTATTTTAAAAGTAAAGAACTCCCCCAAACTTTGCCAAGCCGCAAGCGCGGGAGCCTCCAGCTCCCTTTGCTTCTGGGGGCAGTCAAATGTTCTTTTCCAAGTCTGAAGTTTGTAAAAAAGCCAAAAATACTCACTAAGTCTTCGCCAAGGATGTTAGTGACGAGGTATGGAGGCCCTTATATGGGGTTGTTACAACTTGCCAGTCATGCTAACATGGCTGGTCTTTTGGAGCTTCTGCTTCAAGACAATCTGATACCATCTCCCGCTGTTGCCACAGGCGGGGGGCTCAGATGAAAGTCTTCTGCCGCCAGTTTCCTACACCCGAGGTACTGGAGAGACTCCTGACCCATCCGGTGTATCCGGAAAGGTCAAAAAAGTCCACTAAAAAGCTCCAAAAGCTAGTGAAACTCAGAGAGCCCTGAGTATTCAACTAGGTCATTGCACAGAAGCCCCACCTCTCTGTCTATCCTGTGTGAATTCGGCATCATAAGTGTTGACACAACCTCATTGGTGTACCCCACTCTAGGGTTCGGTTACATTAATTGATAACAAGAGACAAAAATATTTCCTCTTGGAAGTATTCAAGGACCCCTCTGGCACTTACACTTGATAAGAGCTGTGATTCGTGACACTTGTAGAGGGGTCATCCAGACCTAGAGGAGCCATAAGTAAAAACATAAATTGCATACCAAAGGGTGTCAACTACAATATATAGTGAAAATGTAAATCTGCCCGTGAAAGCTTTTCTCAGTGGTAGGGCAGAGGCCCTCTAGCTTCCTAATCTCTGTCCTTCACTAATATGATATGCAAAACTAACTTGTGCTTGGGAAAGGATGAAAGGAAAAATACTTCTTCAATCACATGGGATGTTGATGAAAGAAGAAAATATGCTTGAGAACCATCTCTCCTAGGGACACAATATACATATCTTTGCAAAGAAAACAACTCGGATCCATCCTGCTTTAAGGAAATCTCTGCAAATTGAACAGCTTTCAGCATAATTATTAAAATCAGGCAGTTACCTATAATATTGATTTATACCTATAATAATATAAAATCCATTCCCCATCTGTATAGAAAGCTCCAGGCATCATTCAAAACAGAACATCTACACCTTCCATAATGATGTATATACGATGTATGAAGTTCAATTATGGCATACTGTTTAATATTGATTTATTGAAACATAATAACAATATGAAGAATATGTATATTTGATGGGGGAAATTCAGCATAAAACAGAAAATGGTGGAAAACTACAGACTCATAGGTTTGATTTGTACAAGGGAGAACAATCCATGCGACGGTCACCTCGAGGCTAGACTACTGCAACGCTCTCTACATGGGGCTGCCTCTGTCGCAGATCCGGAAGCTGCAGCTGGTGCAGAATGCTACAGCCAGGCTGTTGATGGGTCTCTCTAGGAGGGACCATATTTAGCCTGTGCTGAAAGCGCTGCACTGGCTGCCGATAGCGTACCGGATCCGCTTCAAAGTGCTGGTTCTTACCTATAAAGCCCTTTATGGTCAGGGTCCAGCCTATCTGAGGGACCGCCTTACCTCACATGTTCCCCCAAGAGCACTTCAGTCGGGGGCCCAAAATCTGTTGGTTATACCAGGCCCCAAGGATGTCAAACTGGCTGGGACCAGGGCTAGGGCTTTTTCAGTGGCGGCTCCTACCTGGTGGAATGAGCTCCCGGGGCTTTTGAGTAGGAGCCGCCGCCCTACTATACCACCACCATCAAGACATCTGAATGGATGCATTGACGGGGCCCTGGGAAGAACTTGGAATTACATCGGAAAGGCCACCGCCACTGGATATGTACGCTGAGGATACCAGCTCGAGTCGTGGGGATACCATCTTGGATCTAGGACACTAGTAACTGGATAGAGCACTTTAGTCTTAGTTGTGATGTTTTTATTATGTTTTTATATGTTTTTATTTATGGCCAGACTAATGATCTGGCCTCTGTTAGCCGCCCTGAGCCCACTGGGGAGGGCAGGATATAAGTTTAAAAATAAATAAATAAATAAACAAACAAACAGAATTGAACTTGGGATTTTGGGTTCAAAGTTCCATGGATGAGACGTTTGATAGTATCCCTAAGTCCAGCGCATCCTGAATAAATATGAGGATTGAACAGTCTTCCTTGGAACATGAGACAAATTAGTCTGTTTAATAATAGTATTCCAAACAGAGGAAGCAAAAGCACAGGTAGAAAGAAATGCTTGGCCGAGTTTCCCTTATTTGTTTAATGAATAAATAAGAAAATTTTCTTCATAGATTTTAAGTGATTGGGGGGGGGGGGGGTTATCCAGTGGCATGTATTTATGCTTGCAGAATGCAAGTTTTGCTTACTGTAGCCACTTTGAGCAGTTCTCCTGGAGAAGTGGCATGTAAGTCCTCTAAATAACTTATCTGTGATTTAAATAGACCATGATTGATCATGATTTAATGTTTTTATCAGAGTAGGTTAGTTTGCAATACATATTAATTATTTGCTTAATAAGTGATAAAGAGCCTATTCTTCTTTCTTTAGGTGTGTTAGATGACTTGGATATTGATATTAATGAAGGGATGCAGATTGAATTACAAGGACATATAGGACGGTTTCAGGTAAACAGTGCTATAATTACAGCATTTGCTTTCTGCTTAATAGTTGGAATTAAACCTTTTCCCCCTAAATTTTTTTATTATGATCTGATGGGAGAGCTGTTCCCTGTACTATTTATAAAATGTATTTGCCACCCACCAGTATTTTAACCATCAGTGGCACGCAAAAAAATAGTTGTAGACTAAGATTTGAGGCAAATCTCTAAAAATAAGCAGTGGTATCAGAGAGAGACACTAAATTGTAATTTAAGATTTTGTTGGCATCTGTGAGATGTTCAGGATGTAGCATGTGTTTGTATGTAATGGGATTTGGTAAAGGTAAAGGTAAAGGTTCCCTTGCTCGAAAGCCAGTCGAATCCGACTCTAGGGTTGCGGTGCTCATCTCCGTTTCAAAGCCGAAGAGCCAGCGCTGTCCGAAGACGTTTCCGTGGTCATGTGGCCGGCATGACTACACACCAAGGCGCACGGAACGCTGTTACCTTCCCACCGAAGTGGTACCTATTTATCTACTTGCAATTTCTTGCTTTCGAACTGCTAGGTTGGCAGGAGCTGGAACTAGAGACAGGAGCTCACCCTGTCTTGCGGCACCTGGGTCTTGAACCGCTGAACTACTGACCTTCCACAGCCTGCAGTTCAGTATCTTAACCACTTGAGCCACCGCAGCTCTGTAATGGGATTACTGGAGACTAAAACACCTATGAATTATTTGCTGATCGTGGGGCATGATGCTAAACATCCTCATATGAGGGTTTGCTATTTTTCTGTGAATGATAATGCTTTGTTTGAATGGGATTTCTCAGTGTACTTAGAAAAGTGTAAGAGTCAGTGCCGAAGTATGGACTGTTGGGACTTTTATAAAATACAGTGTGGTATCTTTTGGCAATAAAAGGTGTACTTAATTGAGGTATGCATCATTAATCTGAATGGGGGAGACAAGAATTTCAGGCCAACATCATAACAGTCATTAGAAGTATCCTGCTACTTCTTAAGGGTGGCACACTATCTCCTTAAATAAATTATCAGCAATAACAGAGACACTGTAATGGACAGGTAATACAGTCACCAATTTATTTACTTTCCTTTGCCACCAGCGCCAGTGCTTGGGCCTTCTGACACGGTTTAGTGGCTCAGATAGACTTCGTCAGTTTAAGTTACAAGATGATCATGCAGAAGGAGACAGAGTGAATAAGAGGGATGAAATGGAGCTGGCTATGCAACAGGTGAGATCTTGCTTTGTAACAAAACCGAGGATCCTTTTCCCAAAATTGCAAAATAGCCTTTTCTCTGTGTCATTATTCTAACAGTTATGACAGAAATGACATCATCCACTGGTTGTCTTTGATCGCTGTTAACCCACACTGTTTCTTCTCCTGCAGATTTGTGCCAATGTGATGCAGTACTGTCAGTCACTTATGGTAAAGAATGCCCCTGCTTTTGAGCACACCATTTGCCTGTTCACTCCCAGCCTTTCTGAGTCCATCAATCGAGACGGACCTCGGCAAGGTGGGTTTGTGGTTTTTCTGGTGTGAGGTATATTCTGTAAGCTGGACTGAAACTGTTGACGAAGAAGTTAACAAACTGTCACAAGTTTTCTCATACATTGAGATGACATTTGTATCATGTTGCAAAAAGCTGCTTTAGGTCTGATAGATAAAGGATTAGTGGTGGTCAGAAGTTGTAGCAAAACTAGTACAGCTACTTTGTTTTGTATGTGTACAAAGTATATTCTACCCATCTAGTGACCTTTTGAAGCTGTCCTTCAAAGGGCATATTATTTACATAATAATGTTGGTTGCTTCCAAGGGTGAAGGAAGCATTCATACAGTCAGATAAGTATTCTTTTTGATAGTTATACTTTTAAAAACAATGAGAGCCGCTGAATGCCAGTTCACATAACTGCTGGAATGGTAGTTGGCAAGTGAAGTGACCTATCAGGTAAAAGCCCTCATCTTGAACAGGTACATTTTCCACACAATACATAGCCTTATTTGTCAGAAATGTGTCACACAAGTAAGGGATTGCATAATAAAACAGAGTAGCACATTTTACCTTTGGAGGCATAGGCATTTATGTTTTTTCTTAACAAAGTTTGTGTTGTACTATAATCCTAAATCTCCAGGTGTGGCATGATGACAAAACCACAGAAATGTCTCAATTTAAAACAGTACAGAAGTATGTTGAGTTGGCCAAGACCAGGACCAGAAGCTGGCACTGATTCTAGAATAAAATGGAATTGAAAGCTATGACTGCTTGTTTGTGAGGTTCAAGAGATTCAGTTCTCTACAGAATAATCTTAAACAGAGTTGTACCCTTTTAAGACCATTGATTTCAGTGGATTTAGAGAGGCATAATTCTGTTCAAGGTTACACTTGTGTTAACTGTTGGAGAAATCTAGTACAACAAAGCTGAGTTTCTGTGGAACATGGGAAGATTTTTTTAATGTGAATTGTAATTTGCTTTAGACACACAGGCTCCAGCAATCCAGTATTGGCGTCTGCCTGGCCTGGGCATAATTGTCTATCTATTAAAACAGAGTGCTAATGACTTCTTCAGTTACTATGATAGCCACCGTCAGAGTGTTAGCAAGCTGCAAAATGTGGAGCAACTACCACCAGATGAAATAAAAGAGGTAAATACCTTGTTTCTTCTTGTATATCTTCAGTATGGAGACAAGCGTACTTCAGTTATTGTAGTGGCTTTATATGTTTGCCTTTAGTGCTGTTGGGATGGATTGCAGTTGAAGAGGGGGGAAAACCTGGTGGCCACAATTCTATGTTGAAGTTCACGACAGTATTTACTAATTTTTATAAGGCCCACTGTGAGATGTGTATTCTGAGACTGGACAGACGGAAAAGCTTTTACTTTCCCAGACAAAATCAGATGAATAAGTTAGAATTTTTCTCATCATCATTTGCTGAGTTATCAAGCTAGTTAAATATTGGTTGCTCTGAACAGAAATGCAAAACATTTCAATCAGACAAATAACATTAACAATCCAGAATTGTAAATTAAATGGTGTAGCCTGTTCTAGCTTGGGACTTATTTATGTATAAGTATGTTTGTAGCCTGTTCTAGCTTGGGACTTATTTATGTATAAGTATGTTTGGGGCAGGGAAGAGGGGGAAGTTAATGGAATTCTGCAAGACTGTTACACTTAATGGTAATTAAGCTTTACAGTGATTAAGCAACTAATAGTTGCATGTATTTTTGTCTTCCTGTAGCTCTGCCAGTCGGTTTTGCTTGCTGGAGTAGACAAAATTTCAACTGCCCAAAAATATATTGTGGCAAGACGGCGTTTGGTGAAGCTAATAAACAATCGAGCCAAGTTGCTTTCACTGTGTTGCTGTATCCTTTTATGGTTATACATTTTTTAAAAAACTGCACTGAGGAATGCTGAGATTTTTTAAATTGAAACACACCAGCGAAAAATTGCATATGGTCTTGGCAATAAGAGTTGAGAACTTGATAATTAAATCCAGTATAAAGATGGTCTTGTTCCCCTGCCCTTCACTCCCTTCAGGGCTTCTTTAATTGTTCTTGAACTTTGCAGGAAATGCTAATCATTTATCTGACTAATTTGTGGTGCTTAGAGATAATGGAATAGTTTTATGCCGGTAATGATGAGCTGTATTTTCATTGACCCACTGCTCAGCAGTACAGCCCTTCAAATAAATCAAATTCTGGGTTTGAATCACAAGGAATGTCAGAATCATAATTCCCCTGTTTACCTTACTAATGTAAAGGTTTCATATTGAAAAATATTGAAACTGCTAGGGAGTTTTTCTTTAAGAGGGCAGTAAGTGCAGTTGAAGAGTCCTTTTTTTAAAAAAAATGAAGTTTCTTGCACCATATTTAATGCAAAACTGCTAAGGTTCTTAATGTTTTGGTCATTAGTAATTGTTTTTCTAACTTTTTGGTTGAGCAGCTGTAGCAAAAGCCATGAAATAAATTTTATTAAGCCTTACCAAAACACAATAAAAGCTTTATCAGGCTGGATGTTAAACATTCTTAACTATTTTCACACACATAATTGCCAGCATAAGACAGCATAAACAAAAAATGTACATCTTTGTCTTCTAGATATGCTTTAAAGGTATTCATGTAGGGGTGTGCCAAAAAAAATTTTTTTTGACAGAATCGGGCAGAATCAATTTCGGCGGGCAGAAAGACTCCCACATGTCAATTTTGGCAGTAAGAGCCCATTTGGGAATCTTTCCGCCAGCCATATGTCAATTTCAGCCCCATTATATCCTATAGGCCATTGAAGTCAATGGCCCATAGGATATAATGGGGCCAATTCAGATCAGAGAATCTGAATCGGCCCGCAGCAGCCCGAAAGGGGCCCGAATGGGCCATTTTCGGGGGTTCATTCGGTTCAGATGAACCGAATGCATATCCCTATTAAATTCATGAAAAAACACCAACTGTGAGGTCTGCTTCTGTTTGTGCAAGTGCTTAAGGATTGTTGCCTGAGTAATCTTGAACAATGTTAAATGTAGTTAGTAGCAGAGGATTTCTTGAGTGTGCACATGTAAAATGTTATTTGCTAGTAAGTCCACTGAGGCTACATGCACAACATTCAATATGTGCACAATATTTTTTCCACATCTACACCCATCTCCAAAGAGAGAAGTACAACTCCAAAGAGTTACTGTAAACCTTCTGCTATCCTTTACTTAAAGTTTGCAGATATTATAGAAATATGCCTTTTTATTCTTTGGCGACACCTGGAGCACTATCTGCTGTATTGCACCCCAGCTGATTCCCAAGATTCTCTTTTAGCCTCCAGAATTCCATCAAAGAGCAGAAAAATACAAGGTAACATTTATGAAACTCCATGGCATTCTTGTGTTAAGCTAGTCTAGGCTAAAACACTGGGTGTTTTTAGCCTGCTTTATTGTGTATTGTAATAATATATTTTCAAAAATAATTTTACTTGGGTTTAAACATTTTGTGGTTATTAGCACGGCAGTACTGTAGTATAGAGTCATATGTGAATTTAACAACATAACAACTGTTAGCTTCCATCTCAGTGTATCTGAAGAAGTGTGCTTGAATAAACCGTTGTTGGTCTTAAAGGTGCTACTGGACTCAAAATTTGTTTAACATACTACTTGTTGAATATTGCAAAAGTTCTGGGCTGATACCTTCAGTCCAATAGAGACAGAAGTAGCAGGGTCAGGTAGCCTGGGACCTGGGGAGCAGGGAAAGAGAGAGCCCACAATAGGCTAAAGGGAGCCAGTGGTGAGGCATTCAGCCAGCTGCTGTAAGGTCCCCTGGAGCCCATTCTTCCTTGGCCTAAGAGAGAGCATTTACAAAGGCCTGTCCTGCCCTGTCCAGCCCCAGACTGTGTGCACTTGTGCTCACAGCTAGTTTAGGATTATGGAAGCCTGCTTGATCCCACCTGCTGAAACCAAGTTGACTGCTGCTTCACCTATATGGACAGGTCAGGGCTCCAACCCAAAAAGGCACTAGGGCCTGGGGTGGTGCTGATTCAAAAGGAACCTAATTTGGGTTTTGCCTGGGATAAAGAAATCCCTTCTCTCTACTTCTGGTTTCCCCCATATGGGCTGTTTTTAACTGGAAGGATGGATTTGCGAAGTTCAAACTTCCACAGTTATATTTGGGTGGATGATCAGAATAGGAAAAGAATAAAAAGTCTGTCTGTGGAGCAGTAGCTGTTGATACAGAACTGCTGTCACTGATATCCCAGGTTACTTAATGATGTTACTCACTGTCTTTTTGAAAGCTTGTTTTGAACATAAATAACTGCTATCACTTTTATTTTCAAGATTCCTTCAGTTCAGATCCTAACTTGGATTTTAGAAGTGGGTTGAGTAGAGTAAGCCAACATGATATTGATCAGGTAAGAGTCTTTAAATAATAAGAAACAGTATCTCAGTGCCATTAATGCAAAAGTTATACATCACTAGGAAAATACAGCATAACTCCTAAAACTGTGGCGGCACATTCCATGATCGATATTTTACATCCGTTAAATGGTTAGAAGAAAGGAGAATGAACGAATGTCTTCTTCCTTCCTCACCCACCTCCTTTTCTGTATATTGATATGATTCAGTTTGGAGTTGAAATAACAGCCTTCTTTAACCTTGTACCTGCTTTAGTAAATTGGTAAATGCTTCTCAAATGCAACCCCCCACCCCAGTTAATTTTAGACTTGGAACCATGAACAGTGATTGTTGAAATAGGCAAATTACATTTCCCCTGTCTTTCTTTCCCTCAGCTTCAGATTGAAGCCACCAACAGTTTTGGGGAATCACTTCAGAAGAAACTCCTTGACATCGAAGGCCTGTATTCAAAGGTTCGGTCACGCTACACTTTCATTCAAGCACTTGTTAGACGCATCCGTGGTCTGCTAAGGATATCAAGGACGTAAAGAACTTCTTGTTTGTGCCACTGACATTCATAAGCAAAGAATTGGGACCGCACCGGCATTTTGTAGGAGTGACATTTTCTAAATTATGGTTGTTATTTTGTAATAATTTTGCATTCGGTTTTGTGTTTTCTCCTATTAACTATGGAGGGGAAAAATAAAGTTTTTTAATGATAGTATTTCAGCACAAAAATAAAACAATTATTACTGAAGTGGGATAAACTTGCAACAACTTTTACACTGTGTAAAGTTTGGACTGATTTGTACTATAGCTGAACAGAAATCAGACAAAAGTTAAGCTCATTTTCGCCACTTTGACAACCCCAACTAAATATTGTACATATTGACAGTCACTATTCTAAATGTTGACTTTGGGAGACATATATTTAGCGTTTTTCAACGCTTTTGAGTTTTTTGTTATGAGACACTGTCAAAACTAGAAAATGATGTGGGATAATATTAATTACTCTGACAATGGCTTTTAATTTTATGTATATGTACATTTCAAGGACTACTCCATTCCAAAGTTGGCTTATATGTTTGAAACCTTTACAAATATTACAACCTGACCTTCATATCACCCCATCCCTGTTCAGTGAAAGCCAACAAATATTAAAGCCTTGCACTGCATCTAAAAGATACTCAGATGGCCTTTGCCAAGTTTCCTCTAAACAACACTTGATCTTGAAACATAGATAATAAACTAGAGAATGCTCTTGGTGACTCTGAAAGGCCATCGTAGCCTAGAGATAATCCCCATAGGCATTTTAGGACTAAGCCAGTGATAGCTTCTAATTTGTCATAACCAATTACCTGGGAGGCAGTGTGGAAGCTGCATTACAGTGTGGAAGCTGTAATTCCAGTTAACTGATCTGAAAACAAAACTACAAGTGGAGTAGCATTTCAGTTTTGAAATATTTTTTGCAAAGGATTCTAGTGTAAACTCAAGAGTCATGATGAATGCCCGATGCCTTTGGTTTCTCAAATGAGTGTTATTATTGCTGATTTACAGGAAGGTGAGATTAAACCGCATTCCCTGCACATTATGTACAAATAAATATGTAGCTATTGTAGCAGTAAAGAAACAGCAAGTTGCAGAAGTATAAGGGATATGTGGGATGCAGAATGGCACTGCAGTCCATGTTTTGCTGTCTCGGTTTCACCTGATGCTAGATACTTGGAAGAACAAAATGGAAACTGGTCATCAGTGGGAAAGAACAAGAATCCTGTAATTATAAGGCAGGCTGAGAGCCACAGCCAGTGCATATTCCTTTCTGCTCCACATTAATAGTGTTTATAAACTACTGTGCAGAATAACGCTTGGCATCTTATATGGTTTTTGTTCCATCTACTGGTAGCTAAGGCTGAAATACAATCTCTTCTGCACTGCTGCTGGTACTTTTAATATTTATAGCAGCCACTTTGTTCAATGGGACTTCCTTTGCCAAATACAGTTGCTAACTCCAGTTGGGGAAATTCTTAGGAATATGGTGGTAGTGCTTGGGGAAGATTGAATTTGGGGAGGGAGCTCAGCAGTGAGGATACAACACTCTAGGACTTCCACTTCTCCTTAGATTCCATCATCTGAAGCTGCTATTTCCTTCCAGAGAAACTGGTCCTTCTGTTCTAGAGATCTACTGTAATTGAGAGAACTATGGCCCCCACCTACACACAGGAGCATGCTGTTACAGAATGGCTGCTTATACTGGGATTAAATCGGTTAGTCCACAAGACTCTTATCATTGCTGTAACAGACTAAACTCTCCAGAATCACCAGGGAAGGCACCACATTTACCTGCAGGAAGTGGAAATCCATTGTCCTGAAAAATATTGTGCAGATACAAGAAGATAGCATGTAGCTTCTGCTTGCTCCCATCCACTGAAGAAGCAGGCTTTAGCCTCTCAAAGAAGCTGCTAGACTAGATGTGTTAATCTTCAAAATGCCACAACATCCCTGTTTATTTATTTTTTTTGCGACAGATTAACAGTACTACCTCTGGGTCATCTTAAACTTCACTCTTCCTTCCACTAGACCTTAAAAGGAACCCAACAACTGTGATTCATGCCTGCAGCCCTCATCATGTAATAGGTAACCAGCTCAGAACCCACAAGAGTTTGGTTCTAGGGGCGCAAGCGCTGCGCATCTTCGTTCGTCACCACTGGTTAATTCGCACACCGCTAGAGAAGCGGCTCAGATCAGCCCCGCCTCCTCGAGCGCAGGCCTGCAAGAACTCTCCACTTCGCCCCGCCCCTTTTCTAGTCTCTCAAACGCGGAAGAGAATGTAGAACCGAGAGTGTCGTTCTGCAGCCGTAGATTCGTCACGTACCTTTTCAAATCACATTCGTTAGCAATTTGCATTTTCTTTAATTTTTCTGGTGGTTCACTGCCTCGATTTTTTTTTAAGCGACGGGAGGCGGTAGCGAAGTCATTTTCCCCCTGCCACCTCCTGTCGAACAGTCTAATCAGAAAGCTGCGCCTCGCTTACTCGCCGGGTCAGCGGCTACCTTGAGGGACGCAGCAGGCGCGACTGAGGAAGGCGGTCGACGTGGAACCCGCTGCCTGGCGACTTCCGGGTTAACGGCGTTGGCAGAGCCGGAGGAGGAGGCCTGCGGAGTTTCTCGGCTGGGGAAGCGACGCGGGAAAACACCTCCGCCATGGGTGAGGGAAAGACGAGCGGAGTCGTAGACGTAGGTCCCGGGGTTGGGGTGGGGAAAGGGTCGTCTCGGTCGCCTGGCAACGGTGGCTCGCGGGGGCGGGGAGCCCCTCCATCGCCTGGGTTCCGGGTGGGGGGGCGGCGGAGGCGGGAATCTGTTTTCAGTCCTTGCTGCTGGAGAGCTATGAGCGAAACCGTGAAGCGTTTTGCTGCTGCTGCTGCTGCTGCTGCTGTTCCGGGTTTATCGTCGCCTGAAGGATCAAGACCCACCAATGGTGTCTAAAGCAGGAGGCACTCTTTTGAGGCGGGCGGAGCTCTCGCTCAGGTGGGAAGCAGGGAACTGGCCGAGGATGTCGGATTCATGGTCGCGGGTAGGCTTGGCCCTGCTAGGAGTAGGAAGGAGCTCTTTTCGGAATCTATAGAAACGGCCCTCCTGCGTATTGTACACTTCTTCCAGGCCGAGGAAAGGACGTTGTTCCCTCGCTCTGAAACGTCCCCGATGGGTTGAGGGCGGCAGGTGGTGGCCCCGTTACCTGTCTGGACTGCTTATGCCAGAGCCTCAGACGTGG